ATTTTGTATGCAATACTCCGGGTGGCCGCTCGCTTGTAGTGGCCGCTCGCTAGTGGATTACGTTAATCCGGCATCCGGAGCAGAGATTCGCCGATTTCCTTATCGAGACTAACCATGCGGCTATCACCTACATCACACTTAACTCTTGCTATTAACATTCCCAACATATCATAGCTACGTCTCTGATGAAGCTTCAGAAATGGCTGCTGACCTGCCATAACCCCCGGGTTGCGCCTGCGCGCGCTTTTACGGCTTTTAACCAGCGCTTCAATTCCTCCGCAACATCCTCCCATCGGTATCGTCCTCTTGAACTCCTCCAGGATGGCAGCACAGATCAGTTTCGCGAACAATGCTTCGTCCCAGAACGACCTGCGATCCTCCCGCGCCAATTCTTCCGCGATATCCCCGCCGTCGAACGCTGGTTTCACCCGGCTACTCAGAATGATACCCCACGGTTACGATTGAACACAGAATACCTAGAGCAGCACGGCTCCAACGCCTTCGTCCCCCTAGAAATCACCCAACCTTCGAGCCCCAAATCGACGGATTCAGAACTCAGCTTCCGCCAATTCCACGCCCCGCTAAGCCTCTTCCTACAATGGATGCGAACCGCCGAAACAGACCCGGCACAATCAACCCGGCTGTACCTAGCACAATGCCAACTCTCCGACCTTCCCCAGATCCTTCGCGATGATTTCCCCGTGCCAGATCTTGTGGCGCGTGCAGGGAGAGGTGATGTCTACGATGCGAACGTCTGGATCGGGCACCCGCCGACATACACCCCGCTACACCGCGATCCGAACCCGAACTTGTTTGTGCAGATGGCGGGGGAGAAAGTGGTGAGACTGGTGAGTCCGGATGACGGTCTGGGATTGTTTGCGACCGTGCGACGACAATTGGGGAAGAGTGGGGATCGTGAAGCCGCGGCGATTCGGGGAGACGAGATGATGCAGGGTCCGGAGAGGGCGTTGCTAGAAAAAGTGGTTTGGGGTGATTCCGACACACTGGGCGTGGAGAAAGAAGGGTATGAAGCTCGTCTGAGGCCTGGGGATGGGTTATTTATTCCTAAAGGATGGTGGCATAGTATCAAAGGTGTTGGGGAGGGAGTAACTGCCTCGGTAAGTTTATCTATCGCATTATGCGAAGACTGGCTAACGATTTAGGTCAATTGGTGGTTTCGATAAAGCATTTATGTGCTCTGTATAATATGAATATACCAATCCATGTTCTTCGTAGTAAAGTAGCACTCTTCTATAGCACCAATGTACTTGTAGCTTCTAGAATCCTCTCCGCCTCGAAAAACAAAACTTACCTTCCGACCGACTTCAACACCATCACCACCAACACCTCAATACAACAAAAAAGAGAAAAGACATGCGAATGTCCTTCACACTCTCCCGCGCTCTCCTCCCTCTCACGCTCTCTCTCAATCTCAACCCATCCATCGCAGCCCGCGCAGCAACACACCTACCAGCGCATTCCAAATCTCTCGCATTTTCACCCTCCATCTTCCACCCCCAGTGTCCGTCATCTCTCCACCCATACTCTACCATGTTCGACCAAACCAACGCAAACACTCAACCCCAACAAGGGCAACAAGACCAACCTCAACAACAAACCCAAGGCCAAGACCAGCCGCAAGAACAGCAACAGCAACAAGAACAACCCTACCTCGCCCTCCCCGAATCCGACCCCTCCGTGGGCACAAACCGGCTCGATCTCAGCCAACCGGGTTCCACAGTGACACTGGACCATCTGGGGCCTATGGTGGTGAATACGGACGGGACGCTGTCGCGGATCGCGAACTGGGATAGGATGGCGGAGATTGAGAAGAAGACTACGCTGCGGGTGCTGGGAAAGAGGAATAAGCAGAGGTTGGAGGCGTTGAAGGCTGCTGGGGTTGGGGTTAGTGTTGATCAGTCGTAGGAGTGGGGAGTATAGTGTGTGGGAGAAATTTGGTATGTTTTATGTTCTTATGGTTCTTTTGTATGATATGTACATCTAGTCTATCACTATCATGCCTATTTTGAGCGTGTTTTGTGTCAATATCGCTATCCAAAGAGGACTCTTGACGTTTTGGTGATTATATTCCTGTCCCAGTTAGCACCGTCTATACCCAGACACCAAGAGTAGAACTCACCTCGGCTTCACATCAACATAATTCCTCGTATAATCATCAATCTCCTCCACCCCCGAAACCAAATCTACCTCCTCAGCCCGCCTAAACTTACTCCGATGCACAACCTTCCACCCAAAATACAACACCGGAAACACGCCTATCATCGTATACGAGAAGAAAAACGACGCTACATCCCACTTCCCCGGCAAAAAGACCTCATACCCACCCACAAACGCCATGGTAGTCGTACACACCAGCGAAATATACGCGAGATAGGGCTGAAAGCGGGATGTGTAGGGGAGTGTTTCCCGAGAGAAGCCCTGCGCCTTGAGGGCCTTGAAGAAGCGGATGTAGGTGAATGTGCAGGCGGAGAAGTTGATTAGCTGGGAGGCTGTGACTAGGTTGACAAACCAGTTTATTACGACGGAGGCGCTGTTGGAGACTTGCAGGAAGGCTAGGAGTGAGATTAATAGTACGATGCTCACGCAGTAGATTGGGACTCCGGTGCGTGTGCACTTTGTGAAGAAGCGTGGTGCTTTACCGTCCAGTGCGAGGCCGTAGAGACTGCGACTTGCGCAGTAGACGTAGCTATTCCCTGCGCTGAACGAGGCGCCAAGTACCATGGCGTTCACGATATGTGGTAGGATGGGGATATGCAGGCGATCCATGGCGATAACATACGGCGAGGCCGCGGCACCGGGCTTGCCTTGGTCGAATGCAGCGGCCATTGTTGGGTCGTTGTAAGGGACTAGGATACCGACACAGAGGGTTCCCAGCACAAAGAAGACCGTTAGACGGTAGAATACTCCGTTGTAGGCTTTGGGGAGGACTTTGCGAGGATTTACGGCTTCGCCGGCGGCCATGGAGACCTGAGCAATTGGTAAGTTTGATTCTGGCAAGAAGAGGAGGGGAGAATTACATAGTCCGGTCCGGCAATCGTGAAACTCGCCTTGATAAGACAGTAAAGAAAGCCCAGCCATCGACCAAGGTCACCTTTCTTGTAGTGCTCTGCAAACGAACCCGGATTCTGCCAGTACCGGAACCCGAACCGGTCATTCAGAGGATTCCCTCCAAGCATCACAATAAAGGTGAATATAATCAGTCCAAGACTGAGAAGCACCTTTCCCAGCGAAAGCCAGAACTCAGATTCACCATACAACTGAACGGCAAATACATTGAGGATTCTGCGGCCTCGTTGTCAGGGGTCTCAATAGACTATAGATGATGGAGAGGGCAGACATACATATAAAGCACAAGCACAATGGTAACAATAGCCCCTACAGGGACTGCATCGCTCCAATACGTGATAATCAGATTGCACGCGACAATCTCGAATGGGACCTGGGCTACCTGGGACACGAAGAAGTTGTATCCAGCGGCGACGCCGAATGCGTCGTCGACGAACCGTCCTGCGAGGCGGATGGTGGGCGAGGAAAGAGGGAGGAAGGTGACCATTTCTGCGATTGCTAGATAGAGAAGCCTTGTTTAGTATTGATACTGGCGCTTTGGTACATAGGCCGCTTTGGGATGGAGTATGGTGCTGCGTTGGGGTCCAGGGAATAGGGAAATGGATCCGTACAAACGGTAAGGCATAAAATCACGGAGCACCTGTAGTCAGAGTATAAGAAAGTGTATATTTCCGGAGTATAGATATTGGTATTCGCTATAGGGCATTGGCGCTCGCTTGCTTCATTCATGTACAACATTGCCAGTACGACAGACCATGGACAAAAGAGAGGATAGAGGGCAATACTGACCAAATGGTAAAAGCCAGGAATAAACTGGCCGGGCCTCCTTCACGCAAACTTTGACCGATCTGGACATACAACACCGTCCCAATCGTCCCTCCAATACCTATATTCAAGTTAGCATCAGTTTCTATACTCGGTAGTTCAGTCTAGACCAACCGATTAATTCTACATGTCTGGGTTTCAACTTCCGGTGCGTATGATCGTAGACAGGCTTGTGAGGTTCACTGTTGATTGATTCCTCGCCATCTTCGACGACTGTATCTTTTTCTTTTCCGATCCGGTTCTTCAAGTGTGTCTTCAGACTTGTGGTCTTGCCGGGCTCGCCATGTTCAACGGCAGTTGACACTGGCCCAGAGACAATGTCTGGGTTGGAAGACATTGTTGATCAAGCAATAGTAAACACATCAAAAACTATATAGGGTTTTCTGAAGGATTCAGAGAGGGAAAAAAAAAAGAAAAAAAAAAAAAAAAGAAAAAGAAAAAGAAAAAGAAAGAAAGCCGAGGCAAGCAGGTGAAGGATGTCGAAGTCAGTGTGGTTAGCTCATAACATTCTTTTTGCGTTGCATCGACAAAACTAGATCCAGTTAATCGAGTCAGGTGGGATTAATTGATCATGATCCGTTATTATATCCAAAATTCACCCAGCCGTTATTGTTCACTGCAAAGAATTCAAAATCAAACCTGCTGCAAGATTCAGAGTAGGTAGTGGGGCATAATAACATTCCTTCTATCCATCTAACCGAGGCACGGAGAACGGTGCTAGGCCGCTAGCCTGATAGCAGAAGAATATCAAAAGAACATCATATGCGATCAGAGTCAGTGAAATTGAAACAGACGCAGATAACTATCAGCCGGTAGTAAGATATCACGACATATGGAGTACAGAATCATAATGAGCCGAGTCCAATAGCATCACCACTTGGCTCGAATTTGGCCATCGCTCGATTAGGACTAGCTGGTGCCAAAAGATAATGCTGGAGCTACAGCTCCCAAGAGATGAAACTAGATGAGAAAAGCAGAAGAAGTTGATAGATTGTACTAACTAGGTTATGGTAGTCCAGTTAACGGTCTGACCATCCTGGGCAAGAATTTCACGACACGTTCGCCGCCTTCATCCAGGAGCTTATGGCTTCAAATTACGCTACAAAATATCTTTCCGATCCTAACAGTCTCCTGTCAAGCTCATACTGGAAATTTTGGCGCGCTGTGGAGAAATTCCTTCTGGTTTAGCTAGTGTATACATTCTGATCAATTTCCTTTTTGACTGTGCTGTGGGTTTGCCTGGGCAGCTTTTGCCTGCTCTCTGTTTTATTATTTTCGGCCAGCGCACGTTAGGGTGGTGCGTATTGTTTTGTTCAGGGATTATTGGTACAGGCTCACGTGGCGCTTTTTTATTCCATCTGTCTTTGCTTAGCCTATGGATACCCTTGGGGTTTCTTTATGAGTGCTCTGTACCTCCGTATAACAGTAGTACTATGTATTCCATGATATAAGACGTATTGCTAATCGCACGCGAACATCCCGAACCTCCGCAAAGCCAAATCAAACCCCGCCAAATACCCGATATAAGAACAACCTGCATTCACTAATGCTCTCCGTTCTCGTTCCTGTCCTTCTTACACTTCTACCCCTGGTAGTCCTATATCTAACAAACCGCCCTACTCCTACGGAACCTGAAACCAAACCCGCCAAAATGGTCGAGCACGAGGAAGAGCCCAAGCGCTTCTCCCCCAAAGTCCCCGTCGAGCTGGCTCCCCCGAAATACGACCCTATCGATGCCGAGGAATTGGCCAAGTGCGATGGTACGGGTTTCAAGTTTCTTCGGGCTGTCAAGAATGTTCTCTAACATGTTGCAGGAACCGACCCCAACCGCCCGACATTGGTCGCCATCAAGGGTATCGTCTTCGATGTGAGCCGAAATCAGGCCTACAGTCCCAGCGGGCAGTATCGCAGTACGTCTCTTTTCTTCTCTTTGACCAAGAGATTGGTCCTATATCCTTCTTATCTGTGGGTACTGACACCGTCAAGTCTTCGCAGGAAAAGACCCCTCGCGCGCGCTGGCCAGTTCCTCCCTCAAGCCCGAAGACTGCCGACCCGATTGGTACGATTTGGATGACAAGGAGAAGACCGTGTTGGAAGAATGGTTTACCTTCTTTAGCAAGCGGTACAATGTTGTGGGCAAGGTGAAGGATGCTACGAATTACTAGGTGGAGGGCAAAAGTCGATACACTATAATACCCATGGATTGACACAATTCAAAAGAATGCAATGCTTTTTATCAGTCCAGACGCCGCAACCAAATAATTACAGGGAATCTTCTCTAAACAGATAATGACCAACTGAAAAAGAAACACTTAATTGCCCTTCCGGCCCTTCCGTTGCATCCTCTTCTTCGCGATGACCCGGTTGCGTTTGGCGATCTTGTTCCCTTCCTCGGGGTTCTCGCCTCCTTCGCGCTTGTCACTGCCGCGACTCTCGGATCGCTTCCTCTTCTGTCCAGCCATATTTTCATTCGGAGATGGTTTCCCTCTGTCCCCGTTGGGCCTCCCGTAGGGCTTCCTGTCGGGCTTGCCATTGAACTTTCCATCGGGCCTGCCATTGAACTTCCTGTCAGGCTTCCCATTGAACTTCCCGTTGAACTTCCTCCCGTCGGGCCTGCCACTGAACTTCCCGTTGGGATTTTGCGATTTCTCCTCCTCTTCCTCCTTCCTCTTCTTAGCAGCTGTCTGGGCGTAGATGCGAGACTTGGCCTCTTGTTCAGTCCGACGCTTGACCACCTGCGCGTTCTCAATCGCAAACTCCACAATAACCCGCTTCTTCTTATCCTTGACCTCCGCATCGCTGCTAGGCGCATCGATGGGATGGCCGTTGAGCCAGCGAAGTCCCATCAGTGCGTGTCGGTGGGTGAAGTATTCAATAAACCCGTAGCCTCTGCTTCTTCCCGCACCGGTGTTCTCACCGATCTTGGTTCCGTCGCGTCCTTCAAACACAATCGTAGCCTGCTTCACGATACCCTTGCCCTTCTGCTTGCGCAGCTTGTCAGCTTCCTTCATTTCGTCCGATGCCCGGTGTTGTTCCTCTGGGGACAAAGGCTGGCGGAGGTTCTTCTTCACTTCCTCTGCGAAACCGACGACGGCTTGTCTGGCGAGTTGCTTCAGGTCCTTGGAAGTGACTTGTCTGGGGATGTTGCGGATAGACAATCTCGTCAAACTCAAGTGCAGCGTCGGGTTCTTCTTGATGAAGCTCTGGCGCTGCTTGAAACTGTCTTCTCTCATCTTAACCTCAGAGGGTGAAAGCTTCTTGTACAAGGGCGAGTTGGCAGGGATCGTTCCTTCGGAAAGGAGGAAGAGTCGCCGCTTGTCAGTATCGCGAACAAGTCTCCGCGAAGCACCTTCCTCCTCCAGCCTGGTGGCTTGGTTTCTGCTGACTGCGATGGCAACCTGTAGCACTCGTCCGTCCAAGGTGTAGCGGCCAGTCGGATCGGAGGTTTCGTTCTGCAGGACAGAATGCTTGATGGCGGAGGCTTTCTTCGATTTGTCCTTGTCGGCTGCGATGGTTTCTTGTGGCTTCGGACCCTCGCGGATACAAGTGAGGGCATCCTCGGGGCGCCAGAAGCAGACGAAGCCTGTGCCGCGGGGACGGTCGGTCTCGGGGTCGACGACGATTCGAGCGTATCGGACGTTGCCGAATTGTGTAAAGTGTTCGTAGAGCGACTCGTCTGTGGAGGTGAAGGGTAGGTTGCGAATGAAGATGGTAGATGCGTTGCGTTCGTCCTCTTTGTCCTCCTCTTCTTCGTCAATATCATCCTCATTATCTTCATCAAGCTCGTCTTCTTCATCGTCCTCCTCATCTTCCTCCATGTCTTCATCTTCGTCGCCTTCGGAAGCGTCTTCATCTCCAGATGCAGCCTCCTCCGCTTCCGCCATGTCCACGTCGCTCGACTTCTCTTCATCATCTTGCTTCTTCTTCTTCTTCTTCTCCTTCTCCTCCTCCTCGTCTGATTTCTCCTCATCCTGCTTCTGCAAGTTCTCCCAAACGTTCTTCTCCACAGCCCAGTCAACAGCCAAAGTCCGCCCGTCTACCTCTTTACCATTAACCGCCTCCAACGCCTTTTCAGCATTCTTCTTGCCTCTCAACACAACGAATCCAAAACCGGCCAACACATTCCCTCTCTTAGGCAAATAAGCCTGCTTGACCTTCCCGAAACTCCGGAAATGAACAATCAAGTCCTCAGGCTCCTTAATACTCCACGGCAAATTCCGAACAATCAACCTCGGCGGCTGCTGCGCAGCCCTCTCATCCTCCCTCTTCTTCTTAAATTCGATCCCAGCGGCAGACGGCACGCTCTTTCCGATATTCTCATCGACTTCACGGTGACGGCGCTCGGCATAGTCGACCGTAATTTTCTTCCCCTCAAAGACACTTCCGTTGAATTCTTCCAAAGCACGCTGCGCATCTTCGAGATCGGCAAACGTCACGAAACCGAAGCCCTTTGGTTGTTGAGTCTGCGGGTCGAGGACGACAAGGGCATGCTTGATCACGTAGGATTGCGAGAAATACTCTGCTAAGCTGTCGGTCGTGGCTGATGCGGGAAGCGACCGGACGAAAAGGGTCTGTCGGGGTTGGCGAGAGACAAGCCCGTCAGTCGCGGGCTCTTGATTGGTTTGAGGCTCCATTTTGGCCTCGTTAACTAGAAAATTGCAGTTGTTTCTGTAGAGACAAGAGATAGGTTGGTTCTTTCGCAACTTTTTTTTCTGCAAGCAAAATCGGCGGCAGAAAGCGGGTGGGTCTGAGCGGTGAAGGTACTGGACCTCGTCTGAAAGTCGGATTACTATGCTTGCATTCTACAGGTATACGGGTGTTATTGATTCTGACAATGGCTGATGAATTTGAAGACGAGGAAGATCTTAACGCTCTTCTGCAAGCAGAAAAGAGCTCACCTCCCAAGCCCGGAAATGCCCCTTCTTCCTCAACAGCTTCGCGACAACCAGCAGCCAAGGTCCAGCAACCAAAGCCGCAAGCCCTCCCTCCCAAACACGCTCCCTCTGCGATTCTCGTCTCAAAACGGCAGAAAGGCAATCCGATATTGAGTCACATCAAGATTCTACCCTGGGAATATGCAGATATACCAGCCGACTATGTCCTCGGAAACACTACATGCGCCCTATTTCTATCACTCAAGTATCACCGGCTCCATCCAGAATATATATACTCCCGAATCCGTGGAATAGCAGGGAAATACCGCCTCCGCATACTCCTAATCATCGTCGACATACCAAATCACGAAGATAACCTGAAAGAACTCTCCAAAACATCCATCATCAACAACCTAACGCTAATGCTCTGCTGGTCCGCCACTGAAGCCGCGCACTACCTCGAGCTATACAAGTCCTCTGAGAACGCCCAACCTACTGCTATCCGCACCCAGCAGGCCCAATCATACAAGGATTCCTTGACGGACTTTGTGACTATGCCTAGGAGTATCAACAAGTCCGATGCGGCGAGTTTGATCTCTACATTCGGAAGTTTACAGAATGCGATTAATGCACAACCTGAACAGATTAGTGCTGTACCGGGTTGGGGTGAGAGAAAGGTTCGGCAATGGTGTAATGCGGTACGGGAGGATTTCAGAATCGAGACGGCGAAGGGGGCGAAGGCGCCGGAGAGGGATGCTACGCGGATTTTGGAAGATAGGACGGTGACTCGTGATGAAGAAGAGGTTATGCGTTTGGCGGAAGCGGGGGAGATGAGAGCGGATGTGCCAGGGGAGACTGAGACTGTTCATGATGCTGGTTCGCGTGATGTTGGTGAGGACGAGGGTATGAGCGAGGGAATAACGGCAGCGCTAGCCAGGTTACGAGAGAATGGCGGCTGAGCGAGTGTTTCTTTTCTTGTCATGACGGATATCGTTCATCCATTCCGGTTCGTGGAGAAATCGCAACACCAGGCTGGCCAGAACGGCTTGGCTACGCACCTACGAGTATGCTCAAGTGCTGCAGGGGTCTTGACTGACACGGAAGCATGAGACGGATTGTTGGGTCTGCATCCACACTCACGCGCAAGATTAACCGTCTCTGCTGCCCGTGTGTACTCAGGCAATTTTGATTGTCAGGCTACACACGCCGAGCATGGTTTTTTCTGGGAGCATGGCACTGGAAAATTCGCCGGTCACACTGCATGCCAGCAATGGCTCTCGAGCTCACGACTATGGGACTAAGTTGCATGCTATGGACAACGGCGTGTTAAATGAAGATCTCCGGGAAACATTAAGGTATATACGGCTCACGGTGCTCGAAACTGTGGCCGGATGCAGAATGTCAGGCCAGTATATAAGTCACGGAGATATATAACTCAACACCCAGCATTGCCGAGTGATACCTGCATGCTCGGCCAATTGCACCAATGGTATGCGGTATTTATAACGAACGAATACTAGCATAAAAAAACCAATTCAATGTTCAATTGCATAACAAGGGTGTTGTGAAGGTAGAAAACAGAGCCAAAAAGAAAGAACAAGAAAGAACAAGAAAGACAGGAAACATTGAACGAAAAGCAAAAAAAATGGACTCGCGGGGAATCGAACCCCGGACCACCCCCATGCTAAGGGGGTATTATACCACTAAACCACAAGCCCACTTGTTGAAATATAGGTCTCAGTTAGTGTTTTATCAGGGGCATTTCCCTACCCCACAGCTTATCGCATGCCAAGACTTTGATAAAGCTATCAAACCAATGCATTGAACAGGGGGGAGAACAAAACCTCTGCAATTGGTTGTGAATATTCCCCAGTGATAAAATACAGAGTAAAGATATGCACCCCACTATGAATAACATCCCACAAAAATAATGCCTGCGATCTCCATTGCCTTCCCAATCCGTTCGAACCGCCTTTCCTTTTGCTGACCTCGGCGGCGATAACGCCGATTGTGGATGCTGATTGGCCCATACCACCGAATACAGCTGGTCGGATTCGCGGGGCAAAGCTCCGGTCGAGCTCCAACGGCGATAAAAGAAGACATATATAAGGGACATACCCCTCGATCGGAATTGGAACTTATCAGACTGTGCTCAATCCATTCGTATCTCTTGTTGGGTCCTGTGTTTCCAGATCTGTCACCGCGTACTTTGCTGAGGTCTTATCTCGGCCGTCTAGCTTCTTCCCCACAAGTGTTACGTTTAGCAGCGTAAGTGACACATTGAATCCCTTTTAAGACCTCTGCTTGATCCTGTTTCAATGCTAACCAACTTCACCTTCAGCCATCATGTCTGCCCTCCGCCCCGGCCTCAAGCTGCGATCTTTCGCACGCCTCCCCGCTGCCCGCACCCTCAGCACCACACCACTGCGGGCAGCCCAGCCATACTTCTCCAATGAGCCTTCTGGTCCTACAGTGTCCTCGGCCATCCCAGGGCCAAACAACAAGAAGGTTGCTGCGGAGTTGAACGAGGTGTTTGATGTGCGCAGCTTGAACATGCTGACTGACTACACAAAGTCCATTGGAAACTAGTATGTTCGCTTCTTTAAATCATGAGGGGAAGAAGGTGGATAGCTGACGTGCGGTAGTATTTCTGACCTCGACGGAAACACTCTTCTTGATGTGTAAGTCAATCATCTATATGGGACAAGGAATTGTGATTAACAGGATGAAGTTACGCTCAGATTGCCTCTATCCCCGTCGGATACAACAACCCCCACCTCGAGAAGGTGGCCACATCGCCCGAGATGATCTCCTCATTGATCAACAGACCAGCTCTGGGTAACTTCCCTTCTGCTGAATGGGCCGATGTCCTCAAGACCGGTGTCCTCAAGGTTGCCCCCAAGGGCCTCAACCAGGTGTACACTGCCATGGCCGGCTCCGACGCCAACGAAATCGCCTACAAGGCGGCCTTCATGTACCGTCGCCAGATGGAGCGTGGAGGACCCGAGGCCGACTTCAGCGAGCAAGAGTTGGAGTCCACCATGCAGAATCAGCAGCCTGGATCTCCGCAATTGTCCATCCTATCTTTCAAATCCGCTTTCCACGGTCGTCTCTTTGGCAGTCTGTCTACTACTCGTAGCAAGGCTATTCACAAGTTGGATATCCCCGCCTTCGACTGGCCCCAGGCGACCTTCCCCTCATTGAAGTACCCGCTTGAGGAGCACGCTCAGGAGAACGCCCAGGAGGAGCAGCGCTGCCTGCAGGAGGTTGAGCGCCTTATCAAGGAGTACCACAACCCCGTTGCTGCTGTCATGGTCGAGCCCATCCAATCCGAGGGTGGTGACAACCACGCCTCGCCCGCCTTCTTCCAAGGCCTGCGCGACATCACCCAGCGCACCAACGTCCTCTTTATCGTCGACGAAGTCCAGACCGGTGTCGGTGCCACCGGAAAGTTCTGGGCCCACGACCACTGGAACCTCCAGTCCCCTCCGGACATGGTCACCTTCTCCAAGAAGGCCCAGACAGCCGGTTACTACTACGGCAACCCCGCCCTGCGCCCCAACAAGCCCTACCGCCAGTTCAACACCTGGATGGGTGACCCGTCCCGCGCTCTGATCTTCCGCGGTATCATCGAGGAGATCGAGCGTCTGGGTCTGGTTGAGAACACCGCTGCCACTGGTGCTTATCTGTACGCTGGTCTTGAGCGTCTTTCGCAGCAATACCCGCAGCACTTCCAGAACCTGCGTGGTAAGGGTCAGGGTACCTTCATTGCTTGGGACTCGCCTAAGCGGGATGAGATCCTGGCCAAGGCTAAGAGTGTTGGTGTCAACATTGGCGGAAGTGGACAGAGTGCTGTTCGGTTGAGGCCTATGCTTATTTTCCAGAACCACCACGGTATGTCACTTGCTTTTGTTCCCTGTTTAAAAGCAGATATGCTAACTTTCTTTAGCCGATATTCTCCTGGAGAGACTCGAGAGTGTGATCAAGGCGCTGTAATCTGGAATTAAATGTGCATTGATGAATTTCCTTGTTTGATTGTTATTTTCCTGATCATCTAGGCTTGTTTCGGAGTTATACGGGTTTCTGCACGCATCCCGGCGGATGTTTATGACATGATATTTAACGCTCAATTGATTTAATTCTATTCTCACAAGTCGCCTGCTTGGGTATCAGTTTCACCGTGAGAGATCGGTAGTCGAATAAGGACAAGACCCTTCTGAATTGTAAATGCGAAAGAAAACCGAATATTCAACAAACAACCCCTGGCTAATCCCAGATGAACCAAAAGCAAATATATAACCCAGACCATGACCGTAACTCCGTATGTGCAACAGATATGCGAGCCTAAATCCTTCTCAACGCGTTCCTCGAAGCGGGTAAGGTCGTCGCCGTCAATTCATCGGTCGAATCGGTGAGCGTAGTACTCGAGGGGGAAACGGGCGTTAGAAAAACGACGCGAAACAACGCGCAAAGGAACAGGTGTCCCATCTCAAGGCTCCTCTTCGCCGGTACTTCCATCTCTCCTACTCCAAGTCAGCCACGAACACAAACCAATATCCAGCATCAGTCAACATACGGAATATACTTCACCCCAGCATCCTCCAAATTCGAAATCACATCGTCGGGCAACTATCCATCAATCCATTAGCCATCTCTCCTCATTCTTCCTCCCTCCCAATCCTCTACCCCATAGAAAAACATACCGAGCCCGTAACCTTAACCGCATACGTCCCCGGCACATAGCTATCCAATCTCTGCCACCTGGCCACCCAGCTAGTATTCGGATCGTTGAGCGTAATCAGGCCCTCGAAGACCTGGGATGTGCATTCTTGGATGGCGTCGTTGTTGCCGCGCAGGCCGAGGACGTTGTCGCAGTTCGGGCAGCCTTCGCGCATGAATTTCTGCATAAATAGAACAGATGTTAGTATGTTTTGGGCCTGTCTGAGAGGGATATATTGGGGGGATGGGGGTGATGGGAGCGCACGTTGTGAAGCTGGACGAGTGAGCAGACCATGCAGGCACGGAGGGTGCGCTGTTGGCCTGGGGGGACGTAGTAGGTCATTGTAAGTAACTGGTTGGAGTTCCCCAGAAGCTATCTGTTCTTGTAGATATATTCAAATTGAGGAAGTTGCAGAAGTGCTAGCTAGGAACGGAGAACGGAGGCCGACGATTCTGGAACCGCGCAAAATGCCAAGCCGTCGGAGCAAAACGAACGACCACAGGCGGAGGCGAACTTTTAGTTTTCTACTAGGCGCCTTACCTTACATTGTCAGCCAGGAACATAGGCTACGTTCTCTCTTTTTTTTTTTTTTTTTCTGTATTCTTCTTGTTTTTCTTTATATTCTTCTGGTCTTTCATTTATCCCGGAGGCTTTGGTTTCCTCCCTTTTATTATTCCATTGCCCTGTCTAGTCCTCCTGTCTCGTGACCCCTCCTCACCCCTCCTACCATGTCGGACATCGAGACCGCCAACGCACTCAAGGTGCAAGGAAACAAAGCCTTTGCTCAGCACGAATGGCCGGCTGCTGTGGACTTCTACACAAAGGCGATTGAGAAATATGACAAGGAGCCGTCGTACTTCAGCAATCGCGCTCAGGTATGCGACTTGGATTCGGGATTCGGACGGGTGGCTGCAGACGAATGGATGATCAAAAGCTAATCGGTATAGGCGCATATTAAACTCGAGGCGCATGGGTTTGCCATTGTGGATGCTACGAAGGCGTTGGAGCTTGATCCGGGTTATATCAAGGTTAGTATTTCGGGCATTCACTGGGCTGGAGATAAGAGAGGGAGAGATTCTGGCAAGGAAATATGGGAAGAAATATGGACAGCTCTGACGGATTATAGGCATACTGGAGGCGCGCCCTTGCCAACACCGCTATCCTTAACCACCGCGAGGCCCTGAAAGACTTCAAGGCCGTTGTCAAGCGGGAACCCAACAACCGCGATGCGAAACTGAAGCTAGCAGACTGTGAGAAGCTCGTCCGTCGTGTGGAATTCGAGAAGGCGATTGAGGTTGGCGACCCGCCATCGGCTTTCGAAGACTTGGATATCGATTCTATGGCGGTGGACGATGGATATGACGGTGTCCGGATTGGGAACGAAATGACACAGGAGTTTATCGATGATATGATTGAGCGGTTCAAGAACGGGAAGAAGATCCACCGCAAGTATGTGTTCCAGATTATCAAGGCGGTTAGGGACCTTGTCTATGCGGAACCGACGATGGTTGAGATCGGGGTGGAAGAGAGGAATGAACTGACAGTGTGTGGTGACACACACGGTGAGTACTATCCTAGTTCTGGCTTGTGTTCACCTGCTAATGGCAACAGGCCAATTCTTCGACCTCCTTGAAATCTTCCGACGAAACGGCTACCCCTCGGACAAGCATGCATACCTCTTCAACGGAGACTTTGTCGACCGTGGCTCGTGGTCGACAGAAATCGCCCTGGTCCTCTACGCCTACAAGTGGCTTCGCCCCAACGGTATCTTCCTCAACCGTGGCAACCACGAGACGGATGATATGAACAAGGCCTATGGCTTCGAAGGCGAGTGCAAGGCCAAGTATAATGAGCGGGTATTCAAGGTCTTCTCCGAGTCGTTCTCAGCTCTGCCCTTGGCCACCCTGATTGGCGAAAAGTACCTGGTCCTACACGGCGGTCTCTTCTCGGACGACAGCATATCCCTGGACGACATCCGGAAACTGAACCGACACAACCAGCGCCAGCCCGGCCAGCAGGGTCTGATGATGGAGATGCTCTGGACAGACCCGCAAACGGCACCTGGCCGTGGACCCAGCAAGAGAGGTGTCGGTCTCCAGTTCGGTCCCGATATCACCAAGCGGTTCTGTGAGAAGAACGGTCTCGAGGCCATTATCCGTTCGCACGAGGTCCGCATGGGGGGTTACGAGGTCGAGCACGACGGACGCTGTATCACCGTCTTCTCCGCCCCGAAGTACTGCGATACGACAGAGAACAAGGGCGCGTATATCAACCTTGGACCGGAACTCAAGCTCAATTACCAGGTGTTTGAGGCGGTGCCTCATCCTCCTATCAAACCGATGGCAAGTCTTTCCCCTTCCCACCCATAACACCGATATACTGACCATTCACAGGCGTATGCCCAGAACTCGCTTCTATCTATGATGTGATGATTTAGTATTGGAACGAGAGTAGTGGGTTGGCGTTTCTGGATTTGAGGGCAGTTTCAGACTCCTTTAGCTCTTTTGATACTTTATTCATATGTTCTTGACGTAGCGACGAGATGATGAGATTAGAGCCTGATATTCTGATGTTTCTGTTATCTTGGAATACAATGATTTGCATTGCATAGATTCCCATAATGTCCTATAGCCCTTGACCCAAAAACAAGCTAGAGAAAGAAAATGTAAATATAAAAATGAAAAATGAAGACAAAAAAGAGAGGTTGTGAGCCCAACCCGATTCGAACGGATAACCTTGTGATCTGGAGTCACTGTGAACTTGTTAGTTAAAGGTTCAATCTGAAATGACAGATTGAGTAAGAACGTACCACGCGCTACCGTTGCGCCATAGGCCCATTGTTGAAGGGATTGGGTTTGATATTTGCATCCAGAAGACCAAACAATGGAGTCCTCGACAATAGCCGGGGTATGCATGTTCGAGTATTAATGCCTGCCAATGGCTGCAGAGGGATACAGTGACTGTGTGCAAAGCATTTGTGTTTGCTTCGTATAGCCGTTTTGAATCAGTAAATGACTTATAGAATTCTAGAACGTTGATATCAATCTTCAATTGCCGTTTCAATGCTGTGATTATTTAATTAAGACCCCGCGGAGGGACAAGAAACCACGTTCTCGACCTGGAGTCTTCTCAACCTGTTTGCTCTCATCTTCTCCTTTTCTTTCTCCCTAGAAATCTCGGACAGCTGGTATCATACGATTGTATCACGAAAAGAGAAGGCCAAAATGGAATTCGATCCTCAAACCCGTGAGCATCTCTACCACTGTCGTCATGCTGTCAAACTAACCCCGCCATCAGCGCAGTTTCACACCTCCGACAGCTCGAGCTTCGGTTACATATCTGCTCATGAGCGATGGCCGGTTATCCTGGTAAGCCTTCATCCTCTTACTTGGGATTATCATGCTAATTGACATTCTTTTCTCTAGACCGGCGCCATCGACGACCTCCACCGTACCGTGGGCGACGTGACCGACGAGGGGAAGCGGAAAGAGGGCAAGGTTATTATAGAGAACCTAGCCAAGTTGAAATATGAATTGCAGCATGATAGGCAATTGACGTGAGTGTCGACTATTTGATAAGAGGAATGGGTGGCTGTTAACTGGGGTATGCGCAGACCGATTCCGGATGATGGACTGGAGCCAACGGCCGCTGAGTATAACAAGGAGTTGGAGCAGAGAGGGAACTTGTCGTGGTGCAATGGGCCGTGGTTGTATATGGAGTGTTATATGTGTATGTTCTCGTTATCGAAATAACAAGGGGCAAGCTGACAATGAACAGACAGACGTTTAAGCACATTCTTCGCGCAGTCCAAGCACTGGAAAGGATACGATGTTTTTGCTCGCCAGAAGATGTCCACGTTCAAGTCCTCTCGACCCGCCGTGCTAGAACTCGCAGCCAGATACAAGGAGCTCGCCCTCGAAGCCGAGAAAGGCGAGGGCAAGGACGGAAAGACAACAGAGCAGGTCGAGCAAGCAAGACGAGTTCTGTTTTCGGAGATGTGCGAGATTTGCCTGTGGGGCAATGCGACGGATCTGTCCTTGTTGACTACGCTTACCTACGAGGATTTGCAGAAGTTGCAGGGCTCGCAGGCGCGCAAGGCGGCGGAGAAGAACATCCTTGTTAATGATATAGATGCTGCGTTTGATGTTCTGCAGAAGGCGCAGAAGGAGAAGAAGGACCAGGAGCGTCGGGTGGATATTGTGCTTGATAACTCTGGATTTGAGCTTTTCGTCGACCTCATTCTTGCGGGTTACTTGCTCTCTGCGGGTATTGCGACTAAGGTTGTGCTGCACCCCAAGTCGATCCCGTGGTTCGTGTCGGACGTTACTCCTCCAGACTTCCCGGACCTTCTCAACGCCCTGAAAGATGCGCAGAACTTCTACACAGCCCCCGATGAGACTGGCAGAGAGAACCAGTCTCTCTCTGAAAAGGAATTGGACGAGGTGAACTTCCTTTACAACCAATGGAGCCAGCTTCACCAGGACGGGAAAATGGTCATTCGACCTGATCCGTTCTGGACTGGCGCCGGATCCTTCTGGCGCATGCCTCACACCGCACCTGAACTGTTTGAAGATCTCAAGAACAGCGAACTGGTCCTGCTCAAGGGTGACCTGAACTACCGCAAGTTGACCAATGACGCCGACTGGGACCCAACAACCCCATTCACAACCGCCATTGGTCCCCTAGGTCCCAAGTCCGGCCTGCGTGTTCTGGCTTTCCGGACCTGCAAGGCAGACGTTGTTGTTGGTCTTCCTGCTGGTGTGGATGAGGAGCTCCGTCAGACACCTGGAGGAGGTGGTGATAAGAAGCGGGAGTGGGCCTGGACTGGGAAGTGGGCTGTTGTTTCTTTCTGTGATGGGAAGGCTTAGCTTGTACGGGCTTTGATTGTTTTGGCAAAATGATAGATATAGATAATGCGTACATACAGTGACACAGAAAGTCACCGTCCATTTTGCTGTAATTAAGCTAGTCTGATAACCTGAAACACTTAGATGCAATAAACACATGAGTGGCATAGTCATTGACATGATTACCCACCATAATTAGGGCTCAATTACACCAGCTACGCGATCATCCACGCCAGAGCACACGGCCACTGCCTCAACAAATATCACTATACTTGGATCGAACTAATGAGAGATTAGAACAGCTCTATGGGACGTTATTCGCGCTTTGGGGCTTAACGGAGAGGGTGAGAGATGGGTCCTCGGAATAGAGTGCGTCAGTCACATCTCATCTGCCAGATTGCCTGAGGAATCATAACTTTCTGGATCAGAGCCTGAATATCGTGGAAGCCATAAATTCTTTTTTCCTCCTCGTGGAATCTCAGCCTTTTCACCCAGCTGCACATGCGCATTCAAAGCGTCAAAATTCGAGATGATGACTCTAACAGCGGACATAATCGGAGATTACAACATTGAACATAGCAACCGCCACCAGTTCATCAATTACCCCAGATTCAAAGGCTTCGTTGAAACAAGTTTCAGGGAATTCAAAGACGGCGGTTTGTCGTACATAGCGATACTCGGGGTCAGCAGAGATGTCTTAGCTCAGATCGACAAAAACAGGTCAAAGCTACCACTCTTCCGTGTTTTTCACGATCCCTCGCTCAGCACCTTGATTCTAAAATTCATCGGCACGAAACACGAAATTGCAAAAAATGAGCTCTCAGTGGAGTTCATTGAAAATGCCCAACAAACTGGAATCACACGTTTCGACTTGTTCGCCATCGGGTCCGGCCGTAAAGACAGTGCTGATACGACTAGGGCCAAGGAACCTGATGAAGCATTCATGCCTAAAAAATACCAGGAAACTAGAAACTGACCTCCCAGCTCTAGCTGTTGAAGTTGATAGCTCGGACATTTTGGCTCAGCTGCGCAATGATGCGCGCTTTTGGCTGACCAACCCAACACTGATGGAAAATTCAGAGTCATCATCCTCATCCATATACATGCCGATAACCAAAGTATTTATCTTGAACATTGGGAGATGGACGAAGATGATACGCCCGCAAAGCTTCAAGAGCTTGATCTCTCTCGTCTTGCCAACGGCTCCATATCTGTCATTCCTCCCACTGCTACTCTTGATGTCGCTATTGAGCTGCTTTTTGATGTCGTGCCAGATCATATCACTGACAAGACTGTTTTCATCCCCACGGATAGTCTTATCTCTTTTGTCCGCGAGTATTTCAGTATTACGCATTAGCGAGCACCCGGCATCATTGATCCTTAGCGTGGCTCTTTAGATTTCTGCTTGCATGTGCTTGCATTGCTTCTTTGAGTATATTATACTATTTTATCAGTCCCAGAACAGCTTTCTAGGAGGATAAGATCTAGCATATACTTAGAAAGATAGTACTCTATTTATTTGGCATATAGCCCTCTAGCTGCAATATAAAAGAGCCTGGATTATGACAAGAAATGGCTAGATATCACAGATAATACATACATAACGAAAATCTCTATATACTCCCACTCAGTCGTACTTAAGCCAGTCCAATAGCCCCAAATCACTAATCTATCGAGAGGGCCCCTGATAGGGTAATATCCTGTTGCAACTCCGCACCAAGGATTCTAATGATCACTGCAAGGTGCTTGATGGCATGAAGATAGATCACTGGAATTTATCAACTCAAGATTTGTAGTGTCACATTTATCCACTCATTCTCATAAATGTGTCCATTCTTGCGACATGCTATTTGATTCTGAGGGCTGCTGGCATATCTAGTCCAGACAATAGTAAAACTGCATGTGGTAGCTCAATGCTAGCATTGCAGACTACGCCTTCGGAAACCCAGCTCTTTGAGCTGGTCATATAGATTGACACAGAACACCCATTAAGGGATAGCAGTTCCGAGGGCACAGGTGACTTAAGGAAGGTGACAATCTCATTCAGTACCCACTGCCTCACTGGATCTGAAGCACCTCGTGACCTCATGTGTGGACTCTTGCCATACCTGCAACTCAAGTTGATAAATGCTGTAGCGATCCGTATTCAAGTCATTGACTGTCTTCACGCCTTGGTAACTGCAATTATATACTAAAGTCAACTGTAGGCACAGATGGAGCTTTAACGAGATCTGGATCAATATAACCCCATATCATCACTGACAAATACCCGATGGAACATGAAGAGTCTGCTGGCCCACGGCCCATAGTAGGCAAACCAATTTCCTGCGTGTACTATCCCTGAGTTCTCAAGGAGGGGGAACTCCTCACTTTCTGCAGTAGTAATAAACATAAAAAAGTTCCGTCCGGACACTGACTTATCATATTCGCGTTGGAACAAATCATTTGTGACTTTTTGATCTGCAGTATAAAACTTGCACTGTGAGACCTCTGATCCTGTTGGTAAGCCATCAGGAGCCTGTAGGCCCACAAAGAAATTCCCTGCTGGAGCATTGGCAGCATTCATCCGATTCTGCCAGAAACTGCACCTCTGCAAACTTTATCCGAAACAATTGAAATAGCAAACGTTTAGAGAGGACGTTACGTGATACCGGCTTCATTATGCTGCCTTCGCCGAAGCCATGTACCACACAGTGGAAGCAACTAAGCCTAAACGTGTGTGCCGACTACCCGCCTGTGGGTGCAGCAGGTCGATAAACCCGCTGAATGTCGAAGAGGAGTGTTGGATTCCCGGTGTCCATATCCTCCTCCCCATCAATGTGTTCCTTCCCACTGATACCCCCAGCCCAGAGATCCTCCAAATTGCGCATGGCCTTGTACTATATCACGAGACAGATCGACCGAGCTGGTTCCTCGAACGCGAACCAGATGGTGCCTTACAACTTGGGCTTTTTGGCCAGGCAACCATCACTTCAGAATTGACAAAAGATGCGAGATTGTATACTCTTTTAGGAATATGGATCACATTGAATGAGATATGTGGAGGAGTTCATGATATTACTCAAGAAGTAGATTCGTGGAAAGTCAAAAATGATGGAAGAATTGGAAGAAAGAGTTGATCTGAGGGGGATGTTCTCTTCTACTGAATCTTTACCAAGTAATGCATGTAAAATTATTTATTAGGCTGTATAGCCCTATATTAGTAGCCGGTGAATAGCCTTTATGGCGTTCATTATTCATACATTTACTACGCCGATTTGAAATCGGTAAATGGCGAGTGCCCAAGAATACGAGGTATATTTAGTTCCCTTCATCTCTCGATCTCCCAGACCTTCCCCGATACTTGTCCCTCCCCAACATCCAGAAGCAAAACACACAATGGCGCTTGTAGGAAGAACGATGCCTACTCTGCAGATCTCGCGTGTGTATAGATTTACCTTTGCAATGCTATATACTAACTAACCTAGGACCAGCCCTCACAAGACCCCGATTACAACCACAGCAATACCCAATTCCAACAAGATACACCTCAACCAGCCAAACCCAAATAACCCCCCTCAAACCCCAACAAGCCCAATCCATCCTCGCCCAGCAACGCCTCCGCCGCCCCGTATCCCCTCACCTCTCAATCTACAAATGGCAAGTCCACTCCGTCTCCTCAGCGCTTGAGCGAAACACTGGCATCCTCCTCTCCGGCGGCCTATACATCTTCGCGACGTCGTACCTTTTTGCGCCGTATCTCGGATACGATCTTTCCACTAGTACAGTTGCCGCTGTGATCGCTGGGTTACCGGTTACTGTGAAGACGGGGGTAAAGTTTGCGCTGGCGTGGCCGTTTACGTTCCATGTTGTTAATGGGGTGAGGAGTTTGGCTACTTCGGGGGGTCATACGCTTGCGAATAAGAGGCAGTTTGTGAGGATTGCTTGGGGGGTTCTGGGGGTTAGTTTTGCTAGTGCCGTTGGGTTGGTTGTGTATTTTTAGTGTTGTTTGGGGACTCATTGCGAACTGCGCTTTGGTTAACCATGGATGTATATGTGGGATTGGGGAAACGTGACATTACAGAAAGAGTATGGAGTCTGGCTATATGTATACAGACAGCGTATATCTGTTATTAATGAATTTATTGGCTGAAAGCTGGATAACGCTTAAGAACTCATTTCCTCGTCTGTCTCTTCTTCATTTGGGTTAGCCATCTTAATCTTCCCAGGGCAACACAGTTCCAATACGGGGGACAGAATCTGCAGCGTCCAAGAACCTCCAATACAACTCGAAAAGGGGATTTGCAGTGTCCGTCGAATAGTCAGATGGATAGTCCAATGAGATCAACTCTTCCGTAAAAGCCTTGAAGGTCTCATGGAACTCAGCCGTAGGCACCCGGGACTTAGAAGCTATGATGCCCGCGTGTTTGTTCACGACTTTCACCGTTTCCTCACATGCCATAAACCGTCTGACATTCTCAGGTAGTATCCCATAAAGCGACTCAAATGTTTCGACGTCCTTTCTTTTCCCCTTAGGAACCTAGATGTCGGCATCTATAATGCAGTTACCTCCGCGCACGTTAACAGTTCCTTCCCTGATGATCATCAAGTCTTCGAAATCAGCCGTGTTTAGTTTGTCTCTTTTGTAGACCGATGCAAAGCACTCTCGATCGACGAGTTTCGGTAAGTATAGCTTTGACTAAGACTTCATTCTTTGCCATTATTCTGTTGACGTCTTTAAGAGTGGTAGTGAAAGCTCGGATCTCGTCACAGAGGAGTGGTATCTCTTCCCTGGTGCGCTTCATTTCCAACCTCCTTATCCCCGAAGAAAGGTGATTGATGTAGAGTATTCTTTCTTGTGTTTCATCAATTGCCTCGCTTTCCTTTACTGTACGTGTCATAACGACGTAAACAACAGCGATGCTGCCTACATGATGACAGGCTACTACGCCTACAATCGCACTTTATGCGGGATATACAATACTTGCCTTGCCTGATGATTATCGAACCAACGTGTTCAAACCCTCTCGCTCATAAACTGATGCGAACCGCTCTCTAGTGCGACGAGTATTAGCAATTGTGCTTGGAGATAAGTTTGTTCCTGCCTCTCTATCAGAGTTGGTCGGTCACACGCGATGTGTTGCGGTGTCGCTGAAGGCAGATAGCTGGGAGGTTTCAGGCTTTTTTAGGTGGGTTCCTCGTCCTAGAATCCAGGTCGGAATCGTTTGCTTCTCGGTCTCGACCTGCATATTAATCCCGGGATTGGGAAGTCCTGATTTCTTGACATATGTGAGTATGTAGGTCAAAATGATGTTCTTCCGTCTCCTGACAAGTTTGTCGTTCGCCTGGCTGCGTTCCACAGAGATTTCAAAGTCCTCCAAAGCGTATGCTGAAGAATATTAGCTGGGATTCTACCTTTATTATGGCAAAAGAAAGGAATTTATGCAAGCATGTGGGAGCCAAATCGCAGTACTTCCAGGCGTGGCCAATCTTGTGGCTCTCTCTGACCCAAATATTTCCTGCTCTCGGTCCTTAGTGGATAGGCCTAGTCGTTTGAGATCTGGGCGGCGGTTTTGCTCAGTTGGTCTATTTCAAACCATGCTTGTAGCACGAATCTCTTTGTCTAAAATGCCACCCATTCACATGACATAGCAGAGCCCAGGTCCTCGCAGATAGACCTTTTTTTATATAGCGCAGCAATTTCTTGGCTCTCTTTTCTGCTCGGAACGAGTAGTGCATTATGGGCGAAGAATGCCACCTGGGTATCCATGAATATGGGCATGAGGTACAATATGGTCTCAATAAGACAGAGGAGGACAGGCTCACTTGATTAATGTATTCTGCGTTATATGGGACAGTCGACTAATCCCGAATTGCCTCTTTGAATTAACTGATACGTCGGGGCCGTAGTTATACCTATCTTTGAGTCAGCATGTCGCCGGACCTTTTTCACGTGCTATTAGAGCATTATTATAATTGGCTTTCATCTAACGCCATGTTTGGTCTATTAAAAAGAGTGTACTGCCTGATACATCATGATTGACTGTGAAGAAGTCGGACTTTTTGTAGGTGGAATATGGATGAATGTAGGAAGAATAGGGGAAAAGAAAAGAAAGAGAAGAAGAAGGCAAGAGATAGAAAGTACCAAGAAACAAAGATAGAAGATTCCAGTGAATAAACACAGACTCGAACCATAACAGTGAATCCACAGTTCTACTTCTACCAATTCAACCAACCCAACGCTTTTCAACCCCCCCCCCTAAGCCTCAACTGGACCATCAACGGCGACTTCTCCCACAAGGTAAAGGTACGCTGCTTATTCCAATTATTGCTCTCCTCGCAAATCTTCAAGTCGAAATTCCAGAGCATGCGCGCCAGAATTACACGCATTTCGGCGTAGGCCAGATTCTTTCCAATGCAGTCTCTCGGCCCGTATGAGAATACCTGACACACGTCGCGGCTGTCATTGTAGAATGGGGAGGATGGGTCTTTCTTGATCTCTGGGAGCCAGCGCTCGGGGATAAAGTTGCCCGGGTTGTAGAAGTTTATAGGAGATGTATTAGCGGCAAATTGGTGGACGCCTACTTTTGTCTATGTAGAATTGAGTTAGAGCTATTTATATCCGAGAGAAACTGGTCAACTTACCCCCTGAGATATATAATATCCTGATATCTCGATAGGCTCGGCAGAAACGGCTACACGCTGCAGAATAGACGGAACAGGAGGGTACATTCGCATACCTTCATTAAGACAGGCGACCATGTACGGCAGCCGCGCAGTGGTATTCAGAAAATTGATCTCGGATTCCGACTTGAAAGCAGAGCGGACCTCTTGCGTGGCTTTTTCCAGCGCACGCGGCGTCCTGAGCAGGTAGTAGGTCGTACCAGAGAGCAAGGTTGCTGTTGTATCGCTTCCGGCAATGATCAATAGATTGGCATTGGCTTCCATTTCCTCTACAGTTATATTATCCTTCGACCGCAGAAAACCATCCATAAAATCGACCAAGTCGCGAGGTTTCTTGTGTGCCAGGCGTTTTTGCATGGTGGAGCTGCTGTATTCTAATTGCCTTGCTCGCGCATCCGAGAAACGGTCGAGACCAAAAGCGAAACTAAACAACTTGAACAGCACTGGATAGGCATCCTTTATGGTACCCATGACTATACCCCGAACCGCCTGGAAGACATTGGACACCCAGAAGTGGTACCCGTCTGTGTCCAAGTTTCCAAACGACACTCCGAACGCGAGATCGCCGATTAGGTCAAACGTCGTTGAGTTATACCACTTGACCATGTCTGCGGGTCTTTGCGACTCGGCGAAGCCTTTCAGCCTTTTTATCAACTTGTCCGTATATTCGATCAGAACGGGCTCCTGGGTGGTCAGAGCTTTGGTGGAGAAGGAATGCGCCAGCGCTTTGCGGTAGCGGCGATGGTTCTTATCATTGGCATTGTTGATACCTAATGGAACATTGGTCGACAGTTCTGCCTTGGGCAGGTCATTGTAAATTTCACGCCAGGCCTTGGCGGTGATGAAGGAGACCTCAGCTGTTGAGAAACGCACGACCTTGCCGTATTTGCCGTGGAAGGCCTTGATATCAGTTTCGAGTTGTCCTCTAACGAGGGAGATGTGGCGGAAGATAGGAAAGGCAATCCATAGTTTGGGTCCAGGAATCTTTTGTAGCGGATGGTAGTATATATTCCAAATTGCACACCCAAAGAAATAAAGAGAGTAGAGAGCTGCTAGAACGATAAAGACGTTTATCATGGTGGAGATGTGACTATCTCAATGTCGCTTAACAGTGTTGAGTAAACATACAACTCTTGATACTCGTTGAGATATGAGTGCCAACAAAACCGGCAAGGTGAGTCTATATCCATCACAAGTGGGCTCCGGACACTGTAAGCACAGGCGCATGGCCGTAAGCGCATGCTTGATTACACTGCAGTGAGACGCTTCGAGTGCCCAATGATTTAGCTCCCTTTCGGGTCCGATATTCCCGGCTCTGTACATATTGACATAAAAGGGTACATGAGAGTACTAAATCTTCGGTTTTGGAGTTGCGATATAGGCGGCTAGTACTCGAGGCTGAGAGCTGAAAGACATGTATGGTTGGTGTAACCACACCGTCGTAATTGTGCAGCACTGCTGCCAATTTTATTATGTTTGTCAAATGGAAGTTAATCGAGTTCATGGCAAACTAGACCAGATACAACGCCCCATGTTTGCATCAATTGGGCTGATAAGGGCGGTCGAACTTGTGACTTGCTAATAGCGAAACGGAGTGAATGGAGATCTCCCGGATACTGTTAACCTGTCGTTTGCTTTAGGTGCCAAAGTCACCAGGTGGTGAGACTGTAGTCGATCAAATTCCGTCAGCCCTTGGCAAGGGTTGCCATTGGGTGCAGTAGCATAGGCAATGACCCATGCGCATACTCGAAAGACTCGGCTTAATGCAGCGTAGTAGTCTAAACAAATAGAATTTCGGCAACCACCGGGAATAAATAAACCGGCTTCATTACAAATGCCAATAATCAGCATGTTCCTAAGCTGCAAGCATCTCGAGATACCATAGTGCCAATAGAACTGTCATTTCAGGTTTCTCTGTACCACCGACAGTAAAAGGAATTGGTACAGAAATCTCTAGGTTTCCACGATCATCCTTCCGCCGGAGCACCACCAGTTCATGGTTGAAGAGAATGCAGCCGTATTTTGAACGATGCTGCTTCATGTACCAGTTGAAATTTCTCAGTACTTGACGGTACTTATCGCACATATCGGGGTCTGGATGGGTAACGAACACTGTATTCCACTCCCAGGGAACCTGGACATCTCCTGGGGCACAGTTCGGACCAGTGCCGAAGATGAGTATCGCCTCGTAGTAGGCTATGAATGGACGATAACCGTCAATATCCCGGGTGGTTCCTCCATCATCGAATATGACTGGTGAGATGCCATCCGTGGACCCTGGGCCCGCTTCAGCCAAGTAGCTGAATTCAGCTCGCAGAGATCGTCGTATCCTGGGAAAGACATTATCCCAGAGTCTCCATATTAGAGAATCACTGCAAGCAATTGGAGGCGGCGGAGGCAATGGCATAGGATATGCACGGGTGCTCGCTTGTGTAAGGGCATGGTGGTATCTCTGAAGAATGGCATCCATGTTGAAGTTGTACCAGACTGTGGTACTTTGGATATCCTCGGGTCCGTAGGCGGGATCAAAGCTACTGTGCTCATGAACTTGAAGATAGCTGGGAATTGCAGACAAGGTATCTTGCAGGTATGGCAGGAGAGAAATGTGGTTGATGTCAGCTATTGTGTGGTGTTTGATTGTTGTCTTTCGAAAGAGGCTCATAGGTCACATGATACACACTATTGATCTATGAGAAATAAATACAAGATGATTCCAAGGAAATTAACGTGGAAAATTTCAATAGCAAGAGAAATACTCGAACAGCGACCTTCATCGCTGAGCTCACACTCAATTCAAAACTGCTACTAAGTTATATCACGATGACCAAGAATCTCCTAACCATTCGGCATCCCATATTGATAATTCAGAAGCCTCGCGAAGATCACCCGGCCAAATGTTGAAGGAAAGAACATAGAAATTATCCTCTATAATGATATCGTCCTCGTCGGGGCCTATAACATTGAAGAATGTGAAGTCGACAAGATAACTGAGCTTGTCAAAATCAACTGAGAATCAAATAAAACAGGGGAGTGTACATACAGCTTGTCATTCCCAATGCCATACCGCAAGAAGTCGGGATGTTGCTCAGACAAGGTCCATCCATCCTGCCGCATGTGCCTGGTTCCTGCATTAGCTAGCCATTTACACCGGGCTCGGATATGTGATACTAACTCAAGGATATAAACGAGTTGCTTTCGTATACTTTACTTTCAAGCTGCTCAGGAGAAAGATCCATGTAGATATCGCCCACTGTCTCTCCTGGAACACGGCTCATGACCAAATCATCACCGGCTTATTTGTATCAAGGTAGCGGGCAGAACATGACGCTGTGCAAATTCGCTGACGGTGACCTCTGTAAGCTGCTCTTCGATTTGAATATCTCTTCTGTCGATGTTTCGTACAAAGCCCGCCAAATCAAGAACCCAGCTCGACATATTGATATGTGTTAGTCTATTTGGAGGTCATATTTGTTGATTGTGAAATAGACAGATCATCCACGGTTGCCTGTCCGTCGGATGCCTACCATTTCCATCTTCAAATTTCCGCCTCTCGATGCATTCAGAGAAGCAGTAGACCGTCTATCACCCAAATTGTACATCAGAAAAGAGTTAAGGCGCATCAAAAAACCACAGATTGGCTTTATTCTTATCCAGAACGAGAACACAATGCTTGAAGTAAACGAGATAGAAACACCCGGACTTTCAATCCATCATGACTCACCACCAAGCCCTACTCCGGCACTGAGCCATCGCAGAGGTGGTAAAGAATATACCAATTGACTCTAAGTACAGAATATTATGCTAACGTGAAAGTACATAGTCGCCGTTGCTTATCATCTCGTATATAGAACCAGACACCCGCTTAAGAATGAGCTAAAGTATGCTTTGAGCATAGACTACGATAAAGAAATCTCCGTTTTGAACACGACGCCAGTGTCGGGCCATTTGCGAGAAGCTTCTTTGGCGCTTTCGGGACGTTCAGGGGGATCGTTCAGGGGGATGTTCGGAGCCCTTCTGCGAGGCGTCTGCGGCCCCTGCAGCTAGCTGGTCTCGACGGGCTAGACGCTCTTTGGCTTTCCATTTTTGACGGTTGGTTGGAATTTTCCGGGTCTTTGGTGGTTTCAAGGCCTTCCGGGCTTTCCGCTCTTGTGAGCGTCTCAGCCGATTCTGGGTTGTCTGGGCTCTCTTGGCTTTCAAGGCTTCTGAGTCTTCCAGGGATGGCTCAGGCACAGTGAACAATGGACAGGAAGTGTTTCGAGGATCGAAATAAAGAGAAGAGAGGAAGATGAAGAGGGAATGGCGAGGAAGTAAGGGACAATAATTTAATATTCTAGGATATTATATAACCATTTAGTGTATGAAGTCACATGGACCAGCTGAACTCACTGAATGCCTGGATGGTCAGCCCTACGACAATCAATCTTGTACTTTAGAGGTCCTTCTATGTGAGTTTCTTTTGTGCACCTTTCAAATGTGGAGCGCAGTACCCGGACGGATACTATGCAGGTCTCAGAATGAAATTAATAATATCTACCTCAGCTTCCGCTATGAATATGCCTCAACAAACCGACCCTCACCGTAATGCGAAATTAAATTACAGTGTACGCAAATAATACAGGTATCAAATGCATCTCAGAAACAATGCCCAGAAAGCTGCTTACCGTAATCTCTCGGGATAAGCATCGTACAAGCCGTCCGAGACTTGGATGTTGTTGAACGAGGCCTCGCCCTCGCCGTCATGGAAGAAGCGGATCTCAGTCGAGTTGGCGTACCAGGAACTGCAACAGTTAGCTTGTGTCATATGAAGATGTGCAGAAAGAGAGCTTACCGAGCCCAAGTAGACAGCGCGAAGCGCGAGTTGGCATAAACCTCGAGAACAGAGTTGTCGACCACGATGGTAAGGTCCAAGGTTTCCATGTGCTCGTTGTTGCCTTTACCGTTACCGCTGCAGCTATCATTAATGTCGAACAAACGCAGACGTCCAGACTCAGGGTCCGAGTTGATCCCACTGGTAGTCTGCGAGGCAGCGCTGGTATCGTAGCGGTCGATAACAATCGACTCATTCGAGAACTGGTAGTAGATTATGGTGGACTCGAGCTCAGACGAGAGGATTTGGAAGCCAGACTTGAGGTCAGAACCACGCGCAGACTGCGGGAATGAGATCTGGGCGTTGAGGACGAAGAACTTGCTGTCAGGCGAGCGGTTGAAGGGAACAACGCCGGCCTTTGAGAGCTTACGCCTCGGTTCCGAGAAGGACGGGGCAGCATTAATGGCGTTGTAGGTCTCCCGCGCGATTTTGACGCCTAGGGTTTCAAGCTCGACGCAGCTACCGGCAGAGGAGTTGATGGCCACGCGCCAGGAGGCGGTCTCGTGGACGAGATCGTTGTTCACCACATTAGGGATCGTGTGCACGCTCAGCTCACGCGGCAGGAGAAGGGTGCTTTGCCATCCCTGCTGCGCCTTAGGGAAGTCCTTGACTGCCTCAAACACATCTCCAGTCAGCCAGGCATAGGAGATGAAACGGTCCGGAGCACCGCTGCTGGACGATGCTTTAGATGTGCTGGGCAAAATATTTCCAGCCGCAGCATATGCAGATAAGCCCCAATCAAGAACGCCAACCATGTTGGGGTTGAAAGTCACATTGCCATCAACGGCTGAGACACTACCAGCTGCCCACAGCTGAGCATGCAAAGAGGACACAGCCTTCTGGATAGGCATGTAGGAGCCTTCCACACCAAAAGTCATAAAAGAATCACCATTGTAGTTGTATCCCTGTTTATCAAGACCAAACACGTTGGCAGTCTCCCAGTTAAATCCATAGACTCCGGCCCAGTCACCGTTACCCCAAGTCGAGTTAGAAGGCGCATTGAACCATTCCCCAAGGTACTCCCACTGCTCAAAGTTGGAGCTCTTGCTGCGGTAGAGGAAGATACCAGGGCCGACATTATAAACACCACCAGAGACGGTGACGTACCAAGTGCCCTTGGCGCTATTAAGGGTTCGATCTAACTCCTTGTTCTGGAAGAAAAACGGGTCACGGAAAGCAGTAACGTCCAAGCCCGCTGGAGGCTCAGGAATCACAGGCGGGATGTCAAACTTGATGAAGTTCTTTCCATCAGAAGTGATAGCCAGGGACTGAGACTCACTTCCCCGGGTATAGGGAAGGGTCCAATGGATCGGCAGCGATGAAACTGAAGTGTAGATCATTGTTGGCTTGCCATCAATGCCACTGGGAATGACAGAGCCATCAAACACAGAGACAGGATCATTTGCACCACCGGGAGTGAGGGAGTAGTTGCCATTCTTGTTCACATCATAATAGTGCACAAGGTCATCTGTCTGGACAGTAGCAATTCCACTGCTGTTGTGCAGGTAGCCAACATGGAACAGACCAGTTTCAGGGTCACTGTAGTGTGCACATGGGTCACCAACTTGGCCAGCTGGTGGGAGGACATGAATCTTGGGTCTCCATGTTTCGAAAAGTGTTGAATTGGGAAGGTTGGATAAGTTACCCGGCGGCGCGTTGTAGTCTAGAGCGGCAGCAACACCTGCCCAGCTCACGGCAAGAAGCTCAGCTGCGGTTGAGCCCTTCATTGCGGTAAAATAAAAGGAAAGATAACAAAAGACTGAGGTCTATGCTTTCAGATATGTGCAGAGACAGAAAAATAAGTAGACAAAACAATCCTTTTGATATATCGGGAAAACCGCGGAATCTCCGACGACAATTCCCCGACGAACCCCCGACGGACCCCTTACAATGGGTAACGTGCTTCGGAACTTTTATCCTAAGCTCTTTCTAGTAATTGCTAACTATCCGTAATTTACCCGAGAGCCTCGTGGACCTGAAGGGTTCGTGTACTTGTCTTTTGTTGACGGTGGTTCCACAACCCTAGCCCTACCCAGGAAAGCTCCGACGATTGTCTACTTCGGCATTCGGAGAGAGAAGACCAATATCAGACCATCGAGAAAGAAATAAAAAGATTCGATAACATGAACCTAGTCAAAAGTGCTGACCGAATCGCCGGTTCATTCCCCCACAACAGTGGAATACCACTAACGAATCAAGGCATTCCATGGTGCACATGGAATGCACAGTCCGACATATTTCTCCGTAGGTTCCAGATAAAAGGGCTACATGTGGGCTGCTATCAGACTTTGAATATGATCCGCTTTTTTCTAGTTTCGCATAAATGGAGAGGTACACGATACAATGGAACTATGGCAACCCGGCAACCCGGCAATACATGGCAATGCTTTCGTTTTGCCAAGCTGCAACTCATGCTATCTGTTATTGCTTAAGATAGACATGTTTTGTTCTGGTAGCCAGAGCTTAGCTGAATGGACGATTAGGACCGACGTCAGCTTGCACCATGCGCGGCGACTAACCATGGAAATGGTACAGGGGAAGAGAGAGCTCCATATCTAATCCAACTCTATGATACTAGCCACTAGCAACCAATGATAGCCAGAGCTTGCTTTCAACTTTCTCGAACAATGAGAACCACTCCTAATTTGATTTCTCCAGAAGCGCATTATCTATCCTTGGATCAAAGATAGCGCGTGTCATATAATGAAAGTCTTGGTCATTCAACTAGACGATGTCGGTCTCCTTATTTTGGGGGTCCCTATCAAGAAGATCTTTGAATGGGAACCTCATCGGAGCTCCCGTCACTCCGTTAGATGTGACCATGGCTTTCTGGGCACAGTAATACCGCTCGCCATTACCCATATATTGCCTGGTACTGTGCGTGGGAATATCGGGCAAATGCTCCCGCTTCTCAAAGATTGCCTTATCCATTGTGACCAGGATGATTACTACTATCCGTACTCCGCCCCTCGAATTAGTGAACCACCATTTGGCATCTTCTTCAAACTTTGTCTTTGATTCTGCTACTCCAATAATAACGACCAAGGTAGACCAGTTGTCGCGTGCTTTTCTTGGTAAACGTTGACCTGGGTAAAGAATCTGATCTGCCTGCATGAATTGAGTGCCATCAGTGGACCTGTGTGTAATAGCACCTAACCATAACTTGTCATATCGCGGAGTGCCCATTTCATGGAAATGGTCGTTAACCACACATCAGAAACCCCCAAGGATCGCAGCGTGTGAGTTGGACGGAAATATTCTAATCATCCCAGTAGTTCCCTCCCATTGGAAGCGAAAAGAGACCCCCAGAGTGTTTTTGTCGTTGTCGAGCTTGTCGATGGCTTTGTAAGTCAGATTGTGGATGACAATCCACTGGTTACTGCCGTCCTTGTTCGCTTGTGAGGAATCAAGAACTTTCCGAGCAACTGGTCTGAGTCTGCACATTTGGTTGAATTGTCGCATGATGTGGTCCGGAGGGAGGCCGTCTGTGAGCATGTTGAATGCAAGTTACTCTGATTCTGTTAGCTATTCAGCGTCAGTAGATGTTGGATAGAAATCCATCAAAGTAGTCGGAGAAGGACTTCTAGTCCCGTCCTCAGGCAGTCATCTGGTATCATCTGAGCATAATCGATTAAAAGGGTGTCATCTCTTATCTCGCTTACTATCAGCACAGATAAAAACATAGTTTCTGTCTCGGCTAATGCAATAACGGCCATCGGCAAAGTCACGATTCTTGGCTTCGATGTACGATGAAGATGGGTGCCATTGGCACATACTTCAATTATTAGTAAAAGATCCAATCTGCACCCAGTCATTCATGCCGCATTGTCATCGGCGTCTATCTCTCTGGCGGTTGCCGGATCTGTACTGCACTATTCGGGGTATTATCAGCTGCATTATGCATATCAACGCGGAACCCGGTTCCGTTAACCCACATACTCTTGCGCTTTGACAGCTTGACATCAAAGGATTCGATCTGGATTGGGATAAAAGCAGAGCTATCTTCCACGATGCGACCAAATGAGCAGTATTCGCACCGGGTCATATCAAAATGTCCCCAGTTATTGCTAGCTCCGCGGCCATTATCGCAGCTTTCTTTCTCTGGCACTACTGCTATCAACTATTCTTTAGTCCCCTCGCGCGAGTCTCAGGACCTCTGACATACGCATTGACGGGATGGCGGCTCGCATACGAGGACTACAAAGGCGATCGATCGCGCACTCTCCTCAAACTGCATAGCAAATATGGTCCCATTGTCCGCGTGGGCCCTGACGAGGTATCGTTCAACAGCACATCTGCGCTGCGAGTGATCTATGGCGCTGGAAGTGGATTCGAACGAACGGAGTTTTACAAAATGTTTGATGTAGCCGGGCGTCCGAACTTGTTCTCATTCGCGTCTGGGAAAGCGCATGGGGATCGCAAGAGGATTCTAGCCCATGCGTATGCCAAGTCGGGAATGCTGAAGGGTGACACCGCAGTGTTGATTGAGAAGAAGGTCCGGATGTATCTGGAACTTCTCGAGCGGGAGGGCTCGATGAGCAATACATTTAACAGTCTGCATTACTTTTCCCTCGATGCTATAACCGAGTTCCTCTACGGACGATTCGGAAAGACAGCATGTCTACAGGGCGTGAAGACGGACCGTGCGCTAATAAGGGCAATGGCAAATTCGGATCGTCGCAGGTTGACATGGTTCAGCGTGCATTTTCTTCGCTTCACAGAATGGCTTTACACTAGGAAGGGTGCCCTGGGCTTCCTTGCGCGGCAATTCTATCCCATGCAAGCACCTACTACATACATGGGCATCCGATGTCATGCGCTGAAAGCTTGTCAGTACTTTTCTGCTGCGACGGACGATGAAAAGAATAAGGAAGGGTCATCAACCCTAATTGCACGGCTGTGGCAGCACCATCGCTCTAGGAAAGAGGGTGGAATGGATGATTCGGATATCGCATCGGAATGTGCGGACCATCTCATGGCTGGTATTGAGACTACTAGCGATACTTTGATGTTCGTGATTTGGTCTCTTTCGCGTCCTGAGCATAGGCGTTTTCAAAAGAAGGTAATTGGGGAGGTCTGCGGAATCCAGGAAGATGGTATTAATGCAGATGATATCCCAAGAGTCGAGGCAAGTGACAAGCTTCCGTATGTAAATGCAGCCATCAAAGAGACACTTCGACTATTCGCACCGCTTCCTGGATCAGAGCCCCGGTCCCTTGCTACCAGCACTACGATTGATGGGTACGAAATCCCCCCGAGGACAGCCGTTTCCATGTCACCATACATCCTACATCGAAACCCGGAGATCTTCCCGGACCCGTCAAGATTCAACCCAGACCGCTGGCTCGACGAGTCCCAAGACCAGGCAGAAATGAAAAAGCTGTTCTGGGCATTTTCTAGCGGAGGAAGAATGTGTATAGGGATTCAGTAAGCCCCCATCATCTAGAATATGCACAGGAAACTGATGAGTTTAGTCTCGCCATGGCCGAAATGGCAACCATGATAGCCGCGATTTACCGCAAGTACAGCACAACGACCACCAACGGCTTCGACAAGGCTTCTCCGGGAATTAGTGGGCGTTATGAGGTGTTCTGGGACGAGACTTGCTCTGAAAGGCGGGTAAGCATGATCCTACTGTACTCCGTATGTAGATTGTTCGATACTCATTGTATTCTAGGAACATGAATGCTGGATCGATTTCCGGCCGCATTGATCTAAACATAACTAATAGCTCCAATCATTCTGGTTGAGGCATATGGTATCTAGCTTGCAGTTATATAGCATAGCAAACCGTTATGATTCGTGAGACTTGTATCCTGCAAGCACATACATTCGGATAGGATAGCTCGAGGCCGCGTGTAGATGTTAAAAGGAATGTACGAGTTGTATTTCGCGAGACTTGAAAAGCATGGGAATCCACGGATCAAGCATGATTCAAACACTACCAAACTCAGCGTTGACCTTGACCAAAAACCGCTCAAATACTTTCACGGCACCCATTTTTTGATCCCAAGCCGATGAATGTTGGCAGCCGGTGATCCGTTCACGGAGCTCCTGGGCCGACACGATGTGGATTTCAATTGCCTATAGCAAGGTTCCAAGCTTTTCTAACGATGACTGCGCTGCACATAGCAAATGATCGCTGTTTTCGCACAGTGGATCCGCTCCCTTTTTCAGAATATACTTCACGCATTTTGTTCCATGAAACAAAATAGCACGTGTCAAAGCTGTGTGATACGCACCGTCGCTGGTGTTGATATCCACGCTGTGGCTCAACAGTGTGCTGAATGTCTCGTCCGGCTCCACATGCAATAGAAGCCAGTGAGGCAAGCAATTCCGGGCTCTTTTGCACAGAAATCTTAAAGTGTCGGTCTACCAGGCGTTTAACTAGACATATCTGCCCCTTGCGAGCTGCATCTAGTAGAATGGAATCTCTTTCGTTCCTCCCTTCCTTCCTGTTCGATGGAAGCTCCAACAATCCGTTTGCGAGGAACAGTTCCACTATCCGATCCCCTCCTTTTAATACATCCCAAATGAGATTATCTCTGTCAATTAGCACAGAACGATCTAATAATTCCTGGGCCAGGGTCATCCGTCCAGTCCTGGTCACCTCTTGCAACATACTGGCATCCGATGGAGAGTTGTCGAATCTGGTCCTGATAATCTGGGCCAGCGCCGTGATCCAGCAATAGATTGACCATGTGCTCCTTTCCTTCGCAGATAGCCAGACATAGTGGGCTATGTAGATATGCTCTGGGGTCTTGGGTTTCACAACGAGCCAACTCGTGCAGAAGTAGTGGCTATTCTCTCGTCTGCTATTCTCACGGCGAAGCCGAGGGGGCCATAAAAACGGGGGTACGAGGTATGTGCATCTTTGATCATTATTCCACGATGCCGGGGCCAGCTGATTTGTATAAATTTCTCGACATGTACTTGGGAGTTGCCAGCAACAGCAAAATACAACAGCAGCACTTGCTCATCTTCATTGTTTGATGCTAAAAAGGCGGGATCCAAATGTTCCAACATGGGCTTCACAGTCGTTCCTTGGCCCTCTTCAGTGGCACTGTAGAAATGATTGGAGGAATTATCAGATATGCGATTCAAATTGCCCCCATGGGCAAGTATGTAACGAATCATATCAAGGTGACCCTTGCTGGCCGCCGCACTTAAGGCAGCAGCGAACTCGTAATCATTCGTATTCAGACTGACTCCAAACTGGACAAAATATTGAACAATCTCCATTTGGTTCCCGCCCGCTGCAAAGGAAAATGCCTGTGCCCAACACGCTTTCTCTAATATAGTGTCAACATATCGGTTCGCGCCTCACAAACCTTCCATAAGTTCCCCAACCACACTGAGACGGCCCCGTTCTGCTGCACCGCCAATAGTATGTCCCCAGTGACCAGGCCCGGAAGCTCTCCGTGTTCGCATTCGAGGATCAACTGGACGACAGAAAGATGCCCGTTATCCGCCACCACTCCCAAAAGATGATGGTAGTGGTAACCGATGGTAATCCATGCAGGTATAGCAAATCCGCGCTCCATAAAGAGCCGTACAATCCCAGCGTGTCGATTTTTCATGGCTCGTGTCATGGCTGTGAGGGGCGAGGTGGAGAGTTGTATCAGTGGATCGGCACCTGCATCCAGCATTTTGCGAGTAAGACTTTCAGAGCCATGTTCCACTGCCCATTGCAATCCTTTTCCTAGTGAGCCACTGAAATGGTCCTGACAAAACTGATAAACATAGTTGTCCAGTAATAAGTAAAGGCGACGGTTGACTTGGGATAATGCGCTGATGTTCCAGTGATATTTCAAATATTGTGCTATGGAAAGCAGAAGCTCGTTGGGAAGATCCAAAAGGCCCTTGGTGACTGTTGTCTGATCCTTGAATGCTCGACCCCGGACCTTTCGAAGAAAAAAGTAGGACGTTGGAGGCTGCAGATCATGTGCACATGGTTTGACAGTGGTAGTCAGTAGGCCACTGAATATATCCAGAGCAAAGTCACGGAGAGTATGTCACAGTCAATGTTCGCTCAATTAGGGAAAAAAAAAAAAAAAAAAAAAAAAAAAAAAGATCACAATCAATCAGAGCCAATTGAAGAGTGAGAAGAGTGAAAGTGGTATTAACAATCAGATTGAAGATTCTTCGCCCAAAGTCCATCACCTAACGAGACTGCAGTTATATGTCTGGCGTGAGTGATATCCTTGCAGAATAAAAAGCCAACGTCGTTCGTTGATATGCCTGCCGCTTCTATAGGGTGGCTTATGGGCAACGGCGATTTCCATGTATAGAATCTATAGTGCATCTAAACTCTCACCGAACAAGCATTCAACGATTTCATGGTATTATTGCCTTGATTTATGTATACAGCTATGCACCCAATTAAGCCAGAACATCACCTCCATCCGACGCTTCCTGAGCCGCCTGCAGTCTGTTCGCCGTGGACTTGAAAATCCGCGGTAAGTTAACCTGTTCGAAGCTTTTTTCCGTCTGAATTATCTCGGCAAGTCCCTTGGCAGTTAAGAATATTACTGGCATCCCGTGTCCATTGAATCCTGCACAAATATATTGTCCAGGTTTGTCTGGGATTTCACCAACGTGAGGGTTGGAATCGTACGAATAGCCCATAACTAGAGACCGTAAGCACATTTATCCTTTTTAAAACTCGAGGAGCCGAGATATGTTTGAAAAGGGAACTTACTTCCAGTCCAGATCTCCTTGACATATGCACCACTTTCCTCCCAGCCCTGGAACGTGCGCTGCATGTAGTCTTTGTAGTAGTCCTTTGCGGGCTCGATGAGTGTACTGTCGTCTACCACACCGTACCACTGCTCCTTCGCTTCTTTGAATGTGTATTGGGCGCCGCCAACGACGATACTCCCATCTGGCCGGGAAATCAAGTAGCTGCATCCGTCTCCATTGAGGATGTAAGAGTATGGCAAGAAAGGAGCATGCTTGCCCTCGGGGACAGCGATATGACAGCATAATCCACGAACGGGCACGATATTCGAGGAGTACTCAGGTAGTAAGCCAGGTGCGTATGCATTTGTAGCATAGATGACTTTGGAAGCACGAATTGATCCGCGGGGAGTGTTGACCAGGTGACTGGAAACGGATTCAGATGCTACAGACGTGACCGGAGTGTGCGCTTGCACATTAAGAGCACTCGAGCCCACAATCTTTGACAGCAGTCCCATAATGAATTTATAAGGCCATATCGTGCCTGCAGTATAGGACATGCAAGCCTTAGCACCTTTTACGCTAGAGATCTATTCCATAAGTCAGTCACCTTCAATCGTCGTCATGAAAACAAAAGACGTACTCCTTCAGCATGTTTCTGTGACGTATAATGTATGTCCTCGACAAACGAATGCGCCTGGGATGCCAGTGCCTCATATTTCTGTTTCGCCTTCTCACCATGAGCTTCGTTGAGATACACATTCATATTCCGAGTAATGTTGAAATCGCAATCAATCCCTTCTTCAGAAATGACATCTTTCAAGGCTTTAACATGCGAAAGCTCGAAATTGGCCAGTTCTGCACCAGCCTCGGTTCCATGCCGTTCAATGTATGTCGGAATATGACCATACAAATCAGGTCGAATGTGACCACCATTACGGCCGGTGGCACCCGAACAGATCTGTCGCGCTTCAAGGATAGTTATCGACGGGTGAGGTTGACCTTGTCGGTCTTGTTGCTTCAGTAGATGATATGCGATACTGACTCCGGCATACCCAGCGCCAATTATAACGATGTCGCTCTGCTGGGGCAATTCCGGGGTAGTCCGCAGGTCGTCGAGGGGATGTAACTCTGTTCTCCAGAACGGAGTTGTGGGATTCTCGACCGGGAGGCCGGCAGGTAGGGAGTCTGTAGAGCCCATGGTCCAAAGAAGAGAGTATAGTAGTCTAGCTGAAAAGTAGGACCTGTTGCGGGGATGATGCTGTTCTTATTATCGGAACATCTCTCGGATCTTGGTGTTTTAATATCGTTCCACTGCCAAGTCGCTTATCTTCTTGTCATGGAGTACTAACATTGAACCAGTCGGCCTTCTTCCCCTCATCAATGGACAAGGATATTTGCATCTAAACTAATAAGATCCATCTCCGTGCAGGGTATATATATAAAACCCCACTTTTGTCACCTTATCGTTTTGATGCGCCATATTGCTATCTTTTTGCTCATACGGTTTGATATATTAGACTATGCACCCTGTACAGCATTTTAAATGATAGAGATGGCAGTTCCAACATTCTCCATGATCGGTAACGATGTTGCGGTGTTGAGGGTAGGTGAATGCTTGTAGTCCTCTCTTCGGAACAGACTGGCGAGGCCGCCAAAAAATGGTACTTCATTCAGCCATATCTGGACTGTCCAAGTCTATCCTCTCGTTCTCAACTATTCGCTTCATCTTTCACAGTGTTGAACAAGAGATCAAGCCCGGACTATGCCTTCCATATTTGGCACTGCATACGCGTTTATTCAGCATGTACAAGCAGGCCACGCTAAACCTAATACATAATGCATAACTAACCCACTATTCCACATATGGTCTAGCGCGACGACATCACTCTTAAAGCGCATCATTGAGCTCCTTCACCAAATCGATATCACTGACCCGACCGCGCCAACACTCCACGCATGTGAATTTAAGCCGGCTCGAATTTCCCTATGATCACTTGAACCCGCGATCGCCCGTGCGAAACGAATCATAATGACCGATTATTCAAAATGGAAGGTGACCGACCTAAAGGCTGAGCTGAAGCGCCGCGGTATTGCGCAGACCGGCCTCCGGGTTAAACAGCAGTTTATCGACAAACTTCTCGAGGCTGAAGCTGGCGACCAAGGCGGAGAGTCGACCGAGGGAGCTTCCGCTGGACCGGAATCTACCGATGCGCAGGATACAGCTGAGCAGCAAACCGCCGAAACTGAACAACCCGCGGAACAGCCGACCCCCGACGTGCCGCAAGACGTGAAACCCGAGGAACAGAAAACGGAAGAACCGAAGCCGGAACAAGCACAGGAATCGTTGGCCCAAAATGGCCATGTCGAAAAGCGCGACGAACCCAAACCTACGGAGCCGACGGCGGAAGAAACACCAAGGGTTGAGGCCGAGGTAGACCAGCCGATGACCGATGCGGCTGAACAAGAGCGACAGGAGGAGAAACCACAAGAACAGGAGCAGGCGGATTCAGGAAAGGAGGCAGAGAAAGCTCCAGAAGAGGTGCCGGCCTCTCAGGCCGGACCCGATGAGGCAGCCGCTCAACCGGTTGAGCAGGCTTCCGGTGATGCGGTGACTCAGGAAGCTCCATCTGAACAACGCGAACCTGCAGGCGCGGAACCTGCTGCTCCTACCGATAAGGATGCACCATCGGCCAAAGCGCCGGAAGCGGGCGACGAATTGCCCCCTGCCCTCCCTACTGAAGAAGGGGCTGAGGACAGGCTTAAACGGAAGCGCCGCAGCCAAAGCCCGATCGCAACGCCTGAAGCGCTTGCAAGTAAAAAGGCTAAAGCGCAGGATGAGACACCGCGTGTGGTGTTGCCAGAGGACCAGGAAGGTCTCGCTACAGAAGAACAACTAGTCAAAGAGCAGGTGCAGCAACAGGAAGCCAGAGAGGAGCATGGCGCACCTGCACCCGCACCCGTTCCTGAGGAGTCGCGTCCCAGGAAGGAAGCGCCGCCTAAGCAGGACGCCCGGTTTAAGGGCCTCTTTGCCGGCGCAGAGCGGGAACAGGTCCGCCCTGCTTCGCCTCTGGCGGACACGGAGATGAAGGACGCAGAGGTTGAGCCTGCGCTTCATGTTGCTACCGCAGCTCTCTATATTGGCGGACTGATGCGCCCGCTCCAGCCAGGAATGCTGCGAAACCATTTAGTCACCTTGGCGTCTGCTCCAGGATCCTCGCCTAGTGAAGACGTAATCGTCGACTTCCATCTGGATCATATTAAGACACATTGCTTCGCTAGCTTTATAAATGTTTCAGCAGCATCACGAGTTCGTTCTGCGCTCCATGGAAACATTTGGCCAAATGAACGGAACCGCAAGAATCTCTTTGTTGATTTTATTCCGGACCAGAAGCTCCAACAATGGATTGACATGGAGGAAGAATCACGACGACGTGGTGGTCCTCAGCCCCGTTGGGAGGTCAGATATGACCGCACCGAAGATGGCGTCGAAGCCGTCCTGGACGAAATCGACCCCAAGAGCGCCGCCGGAAACCCAGCTCCACGAAGCCGCCAGGAATCCATGACCGACGCCCCCCGCGTACCTCCATCTGGTCCACGTGCTGACAGAGAGCGATTCCCATCCGGTCCTTCACGAGCACCGCCACCGGCAGAACCTCGGCCATCGCGACCGGGGCAGGGCTTCAAACCACTCGATGAACTGTTCAAGTCCACAACAGTCAAACCCAAACTTTACTATCTCCCGGTATCGCGAGAAACAGCAGATCGACGTCTGGACCGGTTCGACGATCTACTGCGAAAGGGAGACTATCCCCGTCGCGGAGGTGATGAGACCAGACGTATCTCATTTGAGGATGGAGACCTGTTCGTGGACAATGGACCGGAATTCGCAGGAGGAGGAGGAGGAGGAGGAGGAGGAGGAGGACGGAACCGACGTCGGGGCCGCGGGCGCGGTGGCTTTGGGGATTCGTGGAGGGGATGAGGCATTGTGTAATATTTTAGTTGCATTTGGGAATGGATTTATTGGATTGGACTGGGGTTTTGGCATGTGTATTATATCTCATTTTCATCTATTATAACTGTACAGTAAGAGGCTTCGTATAAAATATCCGAAGATTACCCAAAAAGGATAAAGTGAGGCCATCAAAGCTTGACCAAATCTTGGCTTTTTTTTTTTTTTTTTTTTTATTATTATTTTTCCTCCGGAGGCGCAGCAAAGCAGCAAAGAACCACGGAAGAACGCCTCGCAGGGCTATTGTTATTTATAGACATTCATTTTCATTCTTCATTCTTTCATTCAGATATCTTTTATTCTTTCATTCTTTCCTTTTTCTGTACATTATTATCTCTTCCTGTGGAGCGGCTGTTTTTTGCTGCCTGTTTGTTAGACACGGCGCTTGCGGCTCTTGGACAGCGCTTCTTTTGGTCCAACTTGACTACATATCTTTTATTCTTCTGCATACTACTATTCGAAGCCCCCAATACACCGGAATCCTCAGGGTCGTTTCTCACACTGCACAGAGTACAGAGTGTCGCATACAGAGTGTCGCATACAGAGTGTCGCATACAGAGTGTCGCAGGCTCAAACAATCCACCGCTGATCGCTGGTGATCATCCGTCGTTATTTCTTTTCCTCGTCTTCTCCAAATCTTGTTCTCTCGACCTCACCTTCTCGACTGACGCCTTTCCTCGAATCGTTTCTTGCTCTTCATTGTTATAGACCTTCTGAAGGCGCCATGGGTTGGCCGGTGTGCAATTCAACGACGGAGAATCAACCCAGTGCGTCGACATTTCCCCCCTGATTTATCTCCGAATGTGAAACGGATTGGCTGACTGGAATCATAATTATAGTCGACGAGGTTGAATTATGGGATGGCGGACTTACTTTTCATCAGCTGGCTCTGATAGCCGGGGGTGCTTTCGCTATTTTTGCTGGCATCATGTCGTTATACATCATTATGGGCCATGCGACACATTACAGCAAGCCGCTGGAACAGCGACAGTAAGCTTTTCTCTCCTTTATCTTTTTCCTTTTAGAATTTTTAGACTGACGGCTTCATTTCATCTATACAGCATTATTCGAATCTTGTTGATGATTCCGATCTATTCCCTCGTCGCGTGGCTTAGTATCTACTACCATAAACAAGCAGTCTATTACAGTGTCATGGGCGACTGCTACGAAGCATTTACTATTTCCGCATTCTTCGCTCTTATGTGTCATTACCTCGCGCCGGATCTGCATAGCCAAAAGAATTACTTTCGTGGAATCAAACCGAAACAATGGGTCTGGCCATTGAACTGGGCGCAAAAGTGCTGCGGAGGGGAAAATGGAATCTGGAGAGTTCCTCGGAGTGGCTTGACCTGGTTTAATGTAGGTCTACAACCTAGCAAATGTGTGGGATGGACGGGGCTGACTTTAATAGGTCATCTGGGTTGGCGTCTTCCAATACTGTGTTCTGCGGGTGCTTATGACTATCGTCGCGGTTGTCACGCAGCATTTTGACTTGTACTGCGAATCCTCATTGAATCCGGCATTCTCGCATATTTGGGTATGTATTACCGCTACTATGTATATGGATTATGGCTAACTGATCCAGGTTCTGGTCATTGAATCCGCTGCAGTCACCATCGCCATGTACTGTCTTATTCAATTCTATATCCAGATCAAGGATGATATCAAGCAACATCGGCCATTTCTCAAGATTCTCTCCATCAAGCTGGTTATTTTCCTTTGCTTCTGGCAATCGGTGAGTGCTATTACGTTCAAACCAGTCTGAAACAGAGCGCTAACTTTGCAGACTATGATCTCTTTCCTCTATTCTTCTGGAGTCATCAAGGATTCCGAGAAAATTCAAGCGCCCGACTGGAAAGTCGGTCTTTCCAATCTTCTCATCACCATTGAAATGGCTATATTCTCCGTTTTGCACCTGTGGGCTTTTGCATGGAAGGAGTACTCTATTGACCACGTTCACGACGACGAAGTGACCGACTTCTACGGAAATGGAAAGGTCAACTACCAAGGCGGACCCTGGGGCATGAAGGCGCTTCTCGACGCCCTGAACCCGCTTGACCTGCTGAAGGCCATTGGCCGCAGCTTCCGCTGGCTATTCGTGGGCCGCAAGAAGCGAACTTTGGACCCCAGCTACCAAGTTCCATCCGAGCAGATCGGTCTCAGCCAAGCAGGCAATGTCCCTACCACCGTCGTAACCACCTACGAAGGCGCCGGTCCTTTCATGGCCGGCGGAAGAGGAAACTCTCCCCCGGGCGAAGAAGGAGAAGACCTGCTATCTCACGCACAGCCCAACCCGACTCTCAACCGACTTTCGTCCGGACTATCACCCTCGCCCTACGAAGACCCACACAATAGTCGATTCTACTCTACCAGCCAAGACAGACTTAGCGATTCTTCCATGCTGGATCCCATGGCACCCACACACCAACCCTTCTCACCCTACGAGCATGATTCGTTCAACAACCCCTACATGATACCCTCTGACAGCGAACTCGACACACACCGTCACTACCGCCAACCTTCTTCGAACAGCAGCGGACAAGAATCGGGCGTTACAACCCGTCTATACCATCCAAACGACTCCCAGCATGACCCCATCCGCATGCCTGACCCTTACCAACCGCCGCCTCATGACGACTACGAGCGCGGGCGTAGCAGGTATTAAAACTGCGCCGTTCTATCGTCGGATGGAATGAGTTTTAATTTATGGTGTCAATGACTTTAATTTTCCTTTTGCATTTTGTCTGCTTGTTTCATGACAATACCCGCCATTATGGCACTCTTTCGCTTTCGTTTTTTGTGATCTGATATAGACCATTTCTTTTTATGTACATGTTTGTTGTTGGAGATACCAGTTACCAGTCTTGTATAAATTTTTCTCTTTTGTCTGTTTTTACACTTTATTTGTCGATAATTGGCTTGGGTCTTCTGTTAATGCAAATATCCATGGGCAGGTAGATGCCCGATGCAATGAAGTATATAGTTGCATATACTACTATACGATATTCATTAACTACGAGTAGAAAACTGAATCTCTTGTATATTTGTTTCTTCGTAACATCTTCATTCATCATGAGATCATTTTGCTACTACATAAAAACGCCCAGCGCCCAGCAACCCAAAAAGCGAAAAAGCAAATCCCAAGACACAAACACGCGCCTAGGCAAACATCCCAGACGGCTCCTCCCTACCACCAAAAAACTCGCTCTCCAACCGAGCCGCCTTCCCACCCTTGCGCGACGCCATGCCCATGCTCTGTCTCACATTATTCACGATAGCCGCCTTTCGGCCCAGTTCGCGCATGTCCTTGACGCTCTGACCCAGTTGTCCGAGAAGGGAGACTAGGAGGACGTCGTTGGTTTGCGCGAGGGTTTCTGCGGAGAAGGCGCTTTGTTCGGGAGGGGTTAGGAGGGAGAGGTTCGAGAGGAGGGAGCTGATGTTGCGGAGGTGAGGGTGGGAGAGGAGCTCGGAGGAGGGCTTGGGTGCTTCTTGGTCTTGGTTCGGGGTTTCTTCGGCGGTGGATAGAGTGGAGATGTAGGATTTTATTAATGAGACTCTGGATTCAAGGGTTCGGACGGCGTTTAGGCGGGTGTTGAGGCTGGCGACCACTATATTATTCAGAGTTAGCAGACTGAAATGAAAGGATCCATTGTAATGGTGAAGATAGAGCCGTACGTTCTTCCTCTTCCGGCGAAAGCATCACATCTTTCTGCTCTTTCTTTCCCTTGGTTTGCGTCTCCTGCTGCGACGCTGCACCGGTGTCTGATGCCGCATTCCTCGCACTTCTAGCAACAGTATCAACGCCAATCATCTCCGCTTCGCCCGTTTCAATAGAATACGGCAGCTCCCGGAATCGGATGCTCAGCGACTGCTCCTCATTATCCACCTGCATGGCCTTATCGCCCCCCGCAGCATTGTCCCCCTCATAGACACTTTCATAGACTGTCAACGGAAGCTTAGATCCGTTCGATGCTCCTATTTGGATCTGCGAAGGATGGAACGTAAGGAACACGGCGGATTCATTGTAGTTCTGGAGGATTTGGCGATGGATCGGGAGGTGGGAGGTGTTGGGGCCTGAAGGTGGTGCGGTTGACCACCATCCAACGAGGTCGAGGGCTGGGACTTTATGGACATCCTTTACTGTTCATTCCATGTTAGTATCGGAAGTTTTGTCAATCTCCATGATGGAGTAGCTCGTCACTTACGCTGCTTCACGCGCTCAACGAACCAGTCATGCGGCAGCTGAGCTTCTCCATTTTCACCAGGAGCAACTAAGCACTCAAATGTATGCTCCAAGGTAATCTCGCGGCCATCCTGCTGGCCCAATAGCGCTCCGATGATAGGTCCCTGCTGCTGTCGTGCGGCGTGCCGAGTGATGTGATCGGAGATCGAGAGGAGGATGAGAGGATGGAGTTGGATGTGGAGGCCCGAATCCGAGGACTTCTGGGAAACTAGCGACTTTGCTTGGTCTGCCATTGCCGCTATTTTTGTGTTAGGAAGTCGATAGCTGGTTATCAAAGAGTAAGTTTGTTATATGGATCATAGTCCTGTGAGACCAAAGGCGGAGCTGCATTGTTTGTCATGTTTGCATATCAGCTGCTCTTCCCCGCTGCTTCTCCGGGTTCACCCACGAGAGTTTTCCTTCGAAATCTTGACATATTCGAGAGTGAAACTGCACAGAACACGGTCACTATGGTGGTGCCATCGTCATTCCCTGCGGTGAAAGCTCATCTGGATCAGGTCCAAAATGACCCCTCCATCAGTCTAGACACCACGCTTCTTGACAAACTGAAGATAGAGCTCACGGAGAACGTCGACCCTAGCGTCCCTGCAACGCTTCTGACGCAGATTCCGCAGCTTCTACCGGTGCTTCAGGAAGATCCAACACCTCTCACCGTCCTGGGCACCAGAGCCACCGTGTACTTCTCCTTTGCTGATCTTCGATCCATCGAACCGTCTGTCAACTTCGTCGCGGGCTTCAAGGCGCCATCGCCACCGATCAATTTGCTGGCTCTTTCGTTGTTGGAGAAGGCAGGACAGATACCCAGTGATGCTGCGATAGTGGCTGGAGATTCGGAACTGGTTGCTTCCCTTGTGGAGCTCTGGCTTTCGACGTCTTCGACCGAGGTGGCTCAGGCTGCGTTGGATACGATTTGGGCGCTTTTGGAGATTGATAATGAGAGTCCTCGGGAGAATGGGGGGTATGAGAAGGTCGGAGGACAGGGCCTTGTGTGGAGGAGGATATTCACCGACAAGGATGTCTACGGAACTCTCTTCTCGATATGCAGTCTCAGCGACAACGGACCCGGGAATCTTCCAAAGCGCGATAAAACAGTAGCTCAAGGCAGGTTGATGGGACTCCTTGAGAGAGCGGGTAGACTCCGCTGGGACATCATCTCGACTTCGCAAGTTCCCGAAATTGAATCCAAATATCAGAGTAACAGCTTACTGCATTTCGCGGCTTGCCAGATGGTCGACAAGAGCGATATACTGATGCACATGACACTATTGAAATTCTTCCGTGACATTTTAGAGATCGATGCGCCGGGTCTTGTAGCGAGGAGCTACGTGCAGTCCGCCTCCACGTTTTCTTCTCCTGCTCTGGACTTCCTCATTGCACACAATATCCACCCAACGGTGCTTGAATACTATCTGGATGAATCCAAGCTCGACCCTGTGGATCTCAGTTTCCTTTATGGTCCGGTTATGACTTACGTCGCGCAATATACAGAACTCTACCCCAACCACTTTCTCCAAAACCAGCAGAGTTTGTCGGATCGCATATTGGAACGAGTCATCGGGTCTCTTAGGATCTCTTCCATGCAATGGGCGCATGGACAGATTCCAAGCGGTCAACTCAATGTTCTCTGTTCCCTTCCTCGCGTACTGTTGGTGGAGGCCAGTAAGCAGGGTCTCAACCCCATGCTTGCGCTCCCTACCAACCCACCCAGCAAGGAGGCATTGAATGCCCTTGCTAGAATACTCCACGGCCCACAGAGATCGAGCAATCCTAATTCAACGGAGCTCAATTCCTCTGGCCAGACTCCGACGGACTGGCACAAAGAGGCAGCGGCTGCTCGTTTCTTGTACTTTACTTATTTGAACCATCACCCCAGTCTTTGGAAGGATATAGTCGCGTCAGCTGACATTTTGGTCATGAAAGATGTCTCATTGGCATCGATGTCATTCATGCAAGCCATCGTAACCGCGAATTGGCAGACTTTAATCGATGAAGTCATCGCGCCAGTCCCTGGTATGGGCTCCCGATTCCAGCTTCCATCCGAGCAAAGCCTGGGCAGTGTGTCTCCGTCAGAACAGGGATCTCTGCCTGCCTCGGGATCCTGGGCAGTCCTCACACCACCAGCTTTGTTGACGCTACTACCCTATTTGTTCAAACCACCACGGTCCTACGCGGAGTTCGTTGGAGGCGGAGCTGGCGATGCGGAGAACGCGGTCTGGAAGATTGCTACTGCAAAGTATGATGTCCTCGTGACTTTGCACGATCGGATGAAGGAGTTGGATGACAAAACACCGGAGTTTGAAGATATCGTGCGGACTCTCCAGCAACGGGTTAGAGATGGACCATTGGGGCCTGCCACGCGAACCGTGCCAAATGTTGAGACTATAGGGCTGTGAGATATTCAGTGTTATGGGAAGAATTTGTAAAATGCCGTTAATGATAATGAAATTTGCATGTCCATTCTTTTGAAATTTTATTTGGTATATATAGTCAATCTAGTCCAAAAGATTTCAACAAGGCCGGCTGGCCCAATGGTAAGGCGCTTGACTACGAATCAAGAGATTGCAGGTTCGACCCCTGCGTCGGTCATTTTTTTGTTTTTGCTGGTCCACTATGGAGTACAAGTGCAAGGTACTACATAGCTGTAGCAGTCTGTGAGCCGTAGGGCTTAAGACGCCAAGCCTTTTCATAGATAGAAGGCGGTGAGTTATGCTCCGCCGGAACTTTTTTTTCTGCGGTCATCGCGATCGTTTCCCTCTGGTTATTCGATTTGCATTGGGAGGGAAAACTTGCATTGGCTTTCAGCATAACCGGAATTTATTCCCTTGTCGAAAATGTCGCGATTCGGAGCCAAGAAGGGCAGAAAGCTGCCCGGAGCCGAGTTCTCTTGGGAGACCGACGCCGGGGGGGAGCCAGACACAGCACCCACGCCTCTTTATCCTGTACGCTGCAATCACCGTTCATACGAATATGATCAAAAACTAACGCTTGTAGAAATACAATGTCACCCGCGCGATGCTCCTCACCCCTCGTGAGCAGCTCCAAGTCGACTACTACCGCGACCTGCGCGAACGCTACCACGAAGGCCCGTATTACTCCGTTCTCGATGCCGCGTCGTCCTCTGCGAAGAAGGGGAGTGCCGCGCGTGTGAACTTTGATCCGTTCCACGGCATGCCGTCGTATTCGGGGAAGTATCAGAAGAAGAAGAGGACGTTGCCAAAGTTGCAAGGGAGGCCGTATAGTGAGTCACATTCTTCTTTTTGGCAGGGGTATACGGTCGAGGTCAAAGAGGATGATGGCTAATTGTTTGTGTGCGATAGTTATGAGATTCTTCCCCCGAGAACTGTGGCAGACGATTCAGCCTAGTTTTAAGCCGGAAACCTCGATGGATGGCTACGTTTCGCAGGTCGCACGTACAGGTGCCAAGCGCGGATTCGAGGATGACGAGGAAGAGGAGGAAGATCAGTTGAAGCGTCGGAGGGCTGAGGATGATGAAGAAGGCGGGGAGGGTGAGGATATTCTGGATCCCGACGAAGAACAGGAAGAGGAGATTGTGGATGATAATTTCGAGGACGACGACGATGATATGGGAGGCGATTATAACGCGGAGCAGTACTTTGATGGTGGTGATGATGAATATGGGGATGATGGGTTTGGAGATGGGGGAGGAGGTGGTGAGGAGGATACTTTTTAGCGAGATACCCTTTGCATACTTTATTTGTATTCTACAGCGTGTCAGATGGACAAAATCTCAGGATGTCTAGTTTATGTGTAATTTGTCAATTGCATTTAAATTGTTTATTACTCTATTTAAACAGCGTTCCTGAGTATTTATCGGCATCTGATCTGATAAGAGCGATCTCGGAGATGACATCATCCCGCTCCGCTGCGAAACCGCGGGGCTGTCAAATCTTTATCGCTGAGAAGCCGACAGCAACAATTTCAATTCAAAAGGCAGAATGAGCGCAGACCCGGCATTAGGACCCCAGAAACGGTCCGCTCTCGTCCTCTATGCCTCGGAAACAGGCAATGCGCAAGATGTGGCCGAGGAGCTGGGCGATCTCGCCGAACGGCTGCATTTTGTGACCCAGGTTTCTGAGATGAACAATTTTAAGCCGGTAGCCCTACCTCCCTCTCCTTCTTAACAAATATGGACTGATGGAAGAATGATAGGAAACCCTCGCATCGCATACGTTTACGATCTTCGTCGCGTCGACTACAGGGCAGGGTGATATTCCGGGGAATGGAGGGGGTTTTTGGAAGTCGTTGCTGTTCAAGCGGCTTACCTCGACGTTCCTTGAAGGGGTGAATTTCGCGTCGTTTGGGCTGGGGGATAGTTCGTATCCGAAGTGAGTGGCCTCGGTACGTTTATCAGATACTGGTCTGACGGAATAGGTTCAATTGGGCTTCGCGCAAGTTGCATAAGCGGTTGATTCAACTCGGGGCAAACGAGATATATCCATGCGGAGAGGCTGATCAGCGACATCCTGAAGGGTTTGTTTTTCCACTCTATATCGCGGCCTAGATACTAACTCAAACAGACTCGAAGGCACATTTATCCCGTGGGTGTTGAGTTTCCGCAAACACTTGCTAGACAGATATCCCCTCCCACCAGGCCAGGATCCGATACCGGACGACATGAAATCACCACCGAAATGGCTCCTGCAGTCAGACGGGGCAGCAGAAATACCAGCAGAGCCTAATGTACCAGGGAACAAAGAGCCTCAGACAGTGCCTGATGAGCAGCCCGCAGTACGTCGGTTGGATCACGACGTGCGGCCACTTCCGGATACGTTAAAGGCGACGCTCACCAAGAATAAACGGGTCACGCCGCAGAAGCATTGGCAGGATGTACGGCATATCGCGTTGACGGTACCAGAATCGTTATCGTATAGTCCCGGGGATATGATTTGTGTTACGCCTAAGAACTTTGATAACGATGTCCAGCACTTGATTGAGATGATGGGTTGGGAGGAGCAGGCGGATAAGCTGGTGACATTGATTCCGGGAGAAAGTCTACAAGCGTTGGACGTGCTACCGTCACCACCGATTGCCAGCCTGGAAAGTTACCCGCAGTTGACCCTGCGCGCACTCATTACAGACTATCTGGACGTTCGCGCGATCCCGCGACGGTCATTTTTCTCGGCAATAGCACATTACACACCAGATGAGACGCACAAGGAACGACTCCTCGAATTCATCGTCCCAGAGTATCTGGATGAATTCTGGGACTACACCACACGACCAAAGCGCAGTATCCTGGAAGTACTACAGGAATTCCACTCGGTCAGAGTGCCATGGCAACATGCAGTCTCCGTCTTTCCCATTTTCCGGGGCCGCCAATTCAGTATCGCCAGTGGCGGACCATTAAAACGACTCCCCGATGGCAGCACAAAATTCGAACTCCTGATCGCCATCGTCAAATACCAAACAGTAATCAAGCGAATTCGCGAAGGCGTCTGCACACGCTACCTCTCCGTCCTCTGCCCCGGCAGCACACTCCGCGTCCAACTCCAACGTGGCGGCCTCCATTCATCCGTACCCCAACTCACCGGTCCAACCGTCCTCGTCGGTCCTGGAACAGGCATCGCCCCCCTCCGCTCCATGATCTGGGAGAAAGCCGGCCTCGTGCAAGCCTACCGCCAAAAACACCCAGGCGTACAACCCCCCATCGGCCCAACAATCCTGCTCTACGGTGGCCGCAATCGCACAGCAGACTACTTCTTCGAAGAAGACTGGGAGGAACTAAAAGACGAGATCGACCTAACGGTGATTACCGCATTCTCGCGGGACCAGCGGCACAAGGTCTACGTGCAGGATCTTGTCCGGGAGGACTTTGGACTATTCTATGATTTGTTGCGGAATCGGAACGGGTCTGTGTATATCTGTGGCTCATCGGGACGCATGCCGCAGGCGATACGGGAGGCGTTGATTGAAGCATTTGAGCATGGGAAGGGCACGGGGGGATGGGATCGACAGGCGGCGGAGGAGTATTTGTTGAGCATGGAGAGGAGTGGGCGGTATAAGCAGGAGACGTGGTAATTCTGTATAAATACCATTGAATTATCTCTTCAACCCTCGTATACTCCGTACTGTAGTATGAATATCATAGGCATAATGGTCTACCTCGGCTGGAAGCGGAGTAAAAGCTCGGGCCGGCGTCACGTCGATTTCTCCGCCGAAATCACCTGTCCCGCCTGCGGTCTCTCTTACAAGTACCTCCGCTGTCCGGACACCTCTACTTTGGACAATTAAGAAACACACCGCGTTGAGAGAAACCACAGATTCATCATGAGCGCATTGCGGATTCTGGTGCCCGTCAAGCGGGTGATTGACTACGCGGTAAGTTTTGCTCCGTTGTCGGCGCCGCCCACCTACACACATGGATGGGATGCCAGCTGGAGATGAATTGAAGCTATAATACGAATTATACACAGAGTATATACTGATAAGATGTAACAGATCAAACCCCGCATCAACAAAGCCCAAACCGGCGTCGAAACCGCCGGCGTCAAACACTCCCTCAACCCCTTCGACGAGCTCTCCATCGAAGAAGCCGTCCGCCTCCGCGAACGCAAAGGCCCCCTCTCCGTCGACAACATCCTCGCCCTCTCCGCCGGCGGCCCCAAATGCGCCGACACCCTGCGCACCGCCATGGCCATGGGCGCCGACCGCGCCTTCCACATCGACGTCGCCGAGGGCAACGACGGCCCTGAACCGCTGACCGTCGCCAAGATGCTCAAGGGCGTTGTCGAGAAGGAGAACATTAACCTGGTGTTGCTGGGGAAGCAGGCGATTGATGGGGACCAGGGACAGACGGGGCAGATGCTTGCGGGGTTGCTGGGGTGGCCGCAGACGACGCAGGCGAGTAAGGTTGATGTTAAGGATGGGGAGGGGACGGTGGAGGTTGTTCATGAGGTTGATGGGGGTACGGAGACGTTGAAGGCGAAGTTGCCGATGGTTATTACGACGGATTTGAGATTGAATGAGCCGCGGTATGCGAGCTTGCCGAATATCATGAAGGCTAAGAAGAAGCCGTTGGAGAAGAAGACACTTGCGGACTTTGGAGTCGAGAACCAGCGGAGATTGAAGACTCTCCAGGTTACTGGTATGTTCCCTGCATTTCACTTTGTGTTTACTCAGATCCTAATGACTACAGAACCCCCACCGCGCCAGGGAGGCGGCAAGGTCGAAGACGTGGGTGGCTTGGTCTCCAAGCTCAAGGAACTCGGTGCTCTGTAAACGATCCTGTGATTTGTGCTGTATGAAATATGATGATGTTCCTTAGAAGCAACTCGTGCTATGATTCCTCCTGAAAAGGATTGAATGGATTGACCTACTTAACATAATAGCAGGTGACAAGCCACTAGCCACAGCCATAGAGTACCGGTGAAGTAAATCCAAAGACCAAGCAACGAGAGATAGCCCACATTATCAGAATACACATAAAGTGGAAGCAACATATCATGGATAACAGGTACAGAGTACTCCAAAGGGTATCAAAACGTGGGGCTTAAAATGAGAATATCCAAAGACAAATCCCTTCATGAAAGTATTCATTTCCATCACGGATCATAAGAATGTCTCTGTCCGCGTTTTTCAAAACATCTCTCATGTATGTTGTTTGGTTGGCCTCATCCTTCGCTTCGTCAGCGGTAAGCGAGAGATTTATTACTTAATCGCGCAAGGAACCTGCCTCGTCGGCATCTTGTGCCCCCCTGGACTCCTAAACATTCCCTATTCGTGCGGGATTCATGGCATTGGGATACGTTCCTCATAAAGAGCCTGTTGCAGCGCTTCTTTCGCTTAATTGACGGTATCGGTTTCACTTTCGTGTCTGAATTCGATGCGCTGGCGAGCACGACTAAGCTATCACTTCCACCGGGTGCTCTTCTTTCTGCTGAAGAGTCCTTATACCGTCAGTTCAGAGTTATGTTGCGATTTCCTCTTTCCTATGGAAATGATGTGAATGTCAAGATATATGAGGTATTCAGCTATTCTGAGGGGGAGTGTCCCGAAAACAGAGGGGGACTTGAGTCTTCAGAACGAACAAGTTCAGCCAAGTAAAGTACTTGTATGAGGTAAGGAGGAGATCTGGCTTCCCAGCCGTCGTATAAAAACATCGCAGTATTCGCTGTCTGGCAAATCTGCCAGAAATAGCGGGTGACGCATGCTGAACGTCTGACCGGAAAGAATGAAGATTTCTGGGACTTTCGTGGTATGATGGTGAACCGAAAAGCAGCGCTACCACTCGACGGTCTTGTGGACCGGGAAAATAGCTGGTTTGGCTTATTTCAGCATGGTTAGGGACATGTCCCAGTCACCTACAGAGTAGTACTGAGATGCTAAATGCATTATCTCTGAAAAGGATACCTGGCGGTAGACAAAAATTCTTCAAGGATACAGATCCAAACTTGATTCAAGTCAGCTCAGCAACCAGAACTAACGGTATTTACAGTAGAACTCACCTTGTCAAAGCCCCTAGTGACAATGCACCGACATTGTCAAGCTGAAACCAAAGATCTGCGTGAGCCACGATTTGAAGACCTGCGTATTTATCAGTTCACATTGACGGACAAGAGATTTTTCGTCCAAAAATGCCATCATTCGCAGGAACAAGTCTCCATTCGCGTCGACTTTCTCGATAGATCCAAGCTGAAAGAGCTGGGCGCGCTGTAAAGATCTCATGTAATCTGTGCTGTATGAAATACGATGATATTCCTAAGAAATCAATTAGATGATCATGGTTCATGGTTAATTAAGATCTTCGGGCTGGTGCAAGTGACAGGTCGTAGTGCAACTCGTGGTTGGCTACAAACGGATTCTCGTGGATGAGAGGATGCTGCTGATTCGAAGAGCGAATCGGGCAAACTAACAGGTAATAGATCAGATGCGTGTGTATGGAGAAGATGTATGTGATAGATCGACCGGTTGGCATACATAATAGATGATATGCAGGTTTGATTGCGGAAGAAGCAAATTGTGATATTGTATTAACCGAACGGTATAGGACTCCAGACGGTATGGCGACAAATGATTGCATAGTGCTGGCTGTATGAGAACTCTAGGAGAGGTACCATGTGGGTTAGAGATGTAATCAATTTTTGCGAATGCCCGATGGTCATCGCTAATCGGAGGCAAATGTCCATGAAAACCAACAGTACCTCGGGGTCTGGGATTCGAAGCGGGTTGAAGGAACGCAATCAACATAGCAAACGTTCGCTTTTAAGGGAACTACCATCTCGACCAAGCATTTCCATTCAAGCTGCGTGACCGACTTGAGACGATGCCCCTCATGTTCAGTCACGGTTGTGCCAGTCAAGCCATCGGGTGCTCAGCGGCCGAATGTCAAAAACGACCGCCCCGGCATAGAAGCATAGCAAATAATTCTCTAGGCATTTCCGTAATGGTTGTTGTAAGGGCCCCATGTCGAAAAGTATGTATTCATACTAGCAATCGCTTGCATAGGGTTAGAAGCATATCAAAGCGAGATTTCGGGCCCTTATTCTTCGTTAGACGTTTCATAAGCTTGCGAAATGAGTAAGCGTATATAAAGGATTGTTCTCTCGCTAGGGAAATGTGTGTTAGGTCAGAGTCACAAGACCGGACTCCTCTTCGTACCTATGTACTCGCTGCCATGCACCCGCTTGTCTCGCAGGTGTTCTAACAGTATGCGGATTCTTTTGGTCCCAGGTATGGGATTCGGAGGCTGTTTTGATAGTGGTTCATTTGATAATAATGGCGACATTTGGTCGTCCACGATCGAAGTGGAGGACCCCGTGTAGCGTCGTTGTTCTGTCGCAAGTTGCGATAATTTCGAGCGATTCCTTAGATTAGAATTACATGTCGGTGATTCTGTCGAAGAATGCCATCGCAAATCCTAGACGGATTTACCTCCTATGTGCCTGGAGAGCATGTTTACTTTTCTCCAGTCAGCACAATCTCGCACCAAACCTCAATCAGTGGGTCGATGGAGTCAGCAAAACAGTAGAACGTTGCTTCTGTAGAGTACTTCATTGCCATATCTTTTTGCAATGTGCCGATAGAAGGGCTTCATGGTCTTCTTGTAACGAAGTATGTGTCGACCCCAGCAGTCGGGTATTTCCATGGGAAGTACGATTTAGTGTGTGTTCCCTTCATGCAATATTATAGAGATCTTGACAAAGCAGGAAGCACAAGGTCATAACTAGATCCTGTTGGGTGTCCTTCCACTACCTGTAGTCTCTCTTCATATGAGCTGACTGTGCTATCCGAACAAGTTCCAGATCGGGGTGAGAGGATACATTCAATGTACCTTTTCGGTATTTTTTGAGAAAACAACCGTGGCTTGAGATTGCATACACTCCCTCTTCTGGCTGTTTCCATGGGAACCAGGATCTCGAGTGAGTCTCCCACTGTCGTCGCTAATCGCAAAGTTGCGGCGACGACGAAAGGCACACTTGATAACTGCATCGATAAACCTTGATGCTGTGGCCATATAAGGACTTCTTCTGGGCCATCTCTGTAGTTCTCAGAGTAGCAGTTGGATATTTCCAGGGGAAGTATATGCACCAACAAGCTCTCATGTGAAGCTGTGATGTTAGCATTCCATAACCCCAGGCCATTCTTCATGGAAACCCTCTGTGCTCTGTGTTTGGACTTCGTATCTGCGTGGCTTAACTCAATGTATTCTTCTGTAATCCTCTGATAGCAAGAATTTGTTCGTCGCTTGATTCATTCCCTAGAAACTTCCATGGGTAATAGGTTTTAGCATGTGTTTTTCACATTTAAATCCGAACTTTTCTTTACTCAGGGATTCAATGATTTTATCCAGCTAAAGCACGGATAGCATGCCAGTTTTGATAGGCCAACATATCTTTAGAAATGGGCCATAGGGCTCTCCGGCCTCAGTGGATACATGCCGGTACCGCTACCGCTACCGTCTTATTCTCGCCCCCAGGAGACAAGAAGCGAGAGAGCGAGTAGCAACAGCCGGCCGTCTAGTACGGCTTTATACGACCCCCAGCCTATAACTTTCGGGGTTCCGGTCGAACTAATATATCACGACAAATTTGCTTCCTTCTCTGATGTTACGAGGCACAAATCGTGCTGGAAGCCGCTCAAACGACTTGTTGGAATGGCGTCGTAACATCTGGCGATAACACCGTCAATAGGGTCAATATGATAGCAAATATTGAAAGCGATAACCAGTATAGCCCTGTAGCCTTGGGTTTCTATTGATCTGGATAATGACGAGCAATGATATCGTGGATATGACTCATGGTTTCTTGATAGTGTGGACTATCCCGGTCTAACAGCGGCCGTCTGTCTGAATTCATCCCATGCATCTCATTTCGATAGGATAAGACGTGCCTTTTGTACATTCTGGCGAGCTTCTCGTAGATCAACTTCTCGATGACATTTCCTTGCTTCGCTGAGAGGCAAGCTTTCATTTCATCCGAGGGGTATTTCCATGGGAAATAGAAGCTGTCAAGCGTCCCTCGCACACAGTAGTTGATGATACCCTGTTCCCGGAGACATCGGATGAGCAACCAAAACGAATAGCAAGCAAGTTTCGACATGTCAATGTAATTCAAAGGGGGATAAACACCCCTCTTCTTCAGAAAGTGCAAGACAAGTGCGCATTCACAATGAACGGGCGCATTGACGACCTGTCTTTTCCTCCATATGCCTTTGTGGAAGAATCGACCCTTCTGGAAAAATCGACCCATCAATCTGCCAGGGCTTGGATCATTATTTTTGTACGAGTAACTCTGGGATTCCAGAGCTGAGTTTGCAACTGCTTTCAAACCTTCCACATTTGGTGGAAGTTTATCTCACGCGGATTATTCGGGACGACATTGATATCCAGGCTTGTACTCTGAAGAAACCGAGTCCGTCCGTGTGGCGACTGCGCAAATAGAAGTAACGAATTGGTTGAGTGAGTGAGGGAAGAGACTTTCAGAAGGAAACAATAAGTTGGTGGTTCTATGTAGAAGTTAGTTAGCAGTAAGTAAGCAATCATGACAATGCACCCACTTACCAACACAATGAACTTGGCGCTCATTCTTGAATAGAAAGTAGACATGGAGATCAATGACATCCAAAATGATTATAAGGTCGTCAAAACCCTTTCCTTTGCGGAGCTGGTCACCATGCTTGTCAAGCCGGCCGAAGAAAATGCATAATAGATTTGCAATTTCTTCCAGAGAGGCTTGCGAGTCCTTCATGACTTTATATTTATTTTTCGAACCCGCCAGTCGCTTGTAGTCAGACTCAAAACGAGTTAAACCCTGATGTGTCTCCTCGACGCTTCGCCAACAGTCTCAACAACCTCTGGGACGAAAACTTATAAGCAAGACGCTTGAACTCGACGACTTGAGGATGAAGGTTGCATTCTTTTGTTGGATATATCTGAGAATCTTTTACTCCAGTGAAATCCTGCAGATACTTCCATATTAGCCTGGCATGGGCCACGGTTGACTTTTTGACGGTTCCATTTGTTGCGAGAGTTAGCGTGACCTTATTGTTAGCCCGCTGAATATCAACTGCGATTATTTCTGACTGGGGTTCAGAGATAAGGGTATTCGCCAAATCGTCAAGGACTTCAGCGTCTTTGAGTTTAGTGTCCCTATCGAGATAGCTCTTGCACTCAACTTCTTGTAGCAACCCGACGAGTTCTGCCATTTTGACGATAAAAATACTGGATGTTAGTGATGGGGAAGCCGATACGAAGGTGAAGATGTTGAGTTTAGAATCACTGTTGTAGATAGTATGGTGCCTAGCTCATCTGGGCATTATTCACGGAACATGGTGAATCGACCGTCATTGTGTGATATTGTATGGATTTATTGAATCTACGAATACCCGAGTATAGTAAACACAAAGCTAACAGTTGCAGAATAATAAATATACATTTAGCTTCTAGACAGCTTGTGTAAATGTCAGTAGCTGTGATTGAAGTAGCCAACACGACCGTTTTGCAGACCCAAAGTCATTCAGATTATCTGGCTATCCAAGTAAATGCAAAATAAAGCCATTTCCACTTGCAATTATAGGACCGCAGCTCGTTAATTGTTTGGGCTGTGTGATCTGACGTCTATTATCCATTACGAGGACGACATCTAAAACGGGATTGCCTGCACATTGGACTGTGAAGGAGGATATGAATGGCATTTTTTTGCCGGGGACCGCGAAATAGTCCTTCTAACATCTGTTGATTAGGTAGATAATCATATGCTTTAACCGAGGTACTGGTTAAGAGTTTTTGTTTGCTCCTCGCCAGAACACCAATAGGCGTTTAGATCTATCACGTCGAATGCATGCGAGTTTCGACACCCCTATGTAGCTCGAGGGCGGAGCGTATACTTCTTATGCGAAAGTTGTAAAATCAACGAATCAACACGCATTCGCAATGGAGATAGGAAAAAGCGTAACTGGCCAGTCTCCTGGTATTCTTTGCCCCGTGACTGCATTGCAGTGCTTATTATTTGATCCGAATCCTTCGGGATTGCGGGAATCCAGTGTCCGTGTGGACGATTCTCAAGGACATTCCCTCTATCCAAGAAGTGTTGCCGCATTATCCATTCAATCGCCTCCTTCTTCACCGTCTTCTTCCTTCTCCTCGCGCTTGCGTTTGCGACCCCCTTTACTGTCCTTCGGCATTTTCTCAGCTGGAACGATTCTTCCCGCGTAAACTTCCCGATGGACCTCAGGACCTTGGTTTTCGCGTGTCGGACGGGGGCTGCTCAAGGATCTCATTGACGGCGTCACGAAAGATGTCCGGGATGGGCTCGCAAGCACGACCAGCGTTCGCACAGCACCAACATTTACAGAACGCGGCTGTAGGGAGATCCTAGACGGCTGACTGCGAATTTAGTAAGTGACGCTATCTTTTTGAGAGTTTGGTTTGTTCTCCTATATGAACACTGATTGATGGGCCCGTTGCTAACCCTGGAGGGAAGCTTGCTCTTGGTGACCTGGAGCATATTGAACAAGTCTTCGAGAAATTGTTGCAAATATGTCCTGCGCAGGGTTATAACGAATGATCTTCTTCCGTCCTGGTTCGTCAGGCGCCTCAAGAGCATCCCAAAGGAAAATGCCTATATCAGTTATTTTGAAATCCATTTTTAGAGGCTCCTCTTATGCCCATGGTGGCGTTTAATCTCTCATTACTGGAGAAGCGCCAGAACATCTGGGTCACGCGCTGCACCATTCGTTGCTTGAAGTTACAGCAAACCATGCCAGTAATTGTAGTTGTGACCAAATAGCCTGGGCTTCTTAACGATAGTGTTGGTTGCGATGCTTGTCGCTTTCTCAGACAAGGGCAACGACCGCTGACTGAACGTCAGACAAGCACACGGCGAGCGTGTCGAGGACTTGTGCTGCTCGCTGAGTCAATTCCGCAGTGTCCTGAGTTTTCATGTCGGTACTCCGTACTCAGGAAGTTTGATCTAGGCTCGACTGTCTGTAACAGCGGAAATACCAATGTCGCCCCCCGTCATGTACGCGATTCTCTGGAGGTGAAATTGAAGATCTGGAAGTCCTAGGCAAGGAAGGTTCAGGATCACCCGTCTGCGGCTCGGTTCGATATGCAATAACGGGTGATTGGCCCCATCGTGGGAGTTCTGTCATTTTTTGTTAACTTGAACATCGTTTCTCATATCAGATTCGATCGCGCCAAATTAGCATAATGACACCTTTGGTAGATGGAGAGATCCATGAGAAGTATTTTCCTTGTTGATGACAGGTGACTGGACATTCAGTTACATCACATGGATAATAACTCAACAGTATGGAGCATCACTAGTGAACATACACTAGTGTATCTGACTCGTCATCCGATTGAGCCGGGATGCAGAAAAGTCATTTGCATGCGAGGAGTCAGAATTATGGGTATCGATCGGGAGTACCTGTATAATTGAGAGGTGATATGTACAGAGTACATCGCCGAGTATACTCCGGATACTTCTCTACAATGTACAAGTAGTAATAACAACAATAACAACAATAACAACAACAATAACAACTGCAATAACAACTGCAATAACAACTGCAATAACAACTGCAATAATGAGAATAAGAATATATTGTATTGGCGGAATGCTATAATAAGGACGGCAGAAGTTTCACCTCGCATTCCAGAACCGTCTAGCGGATCGACTATGGGCCCTCCACTTGAGTCGGATGCCGAACAATAGTAAGTTATGATGGCTCATATTCCATACGTGAACCATATCATAAATAAACCGCCCTTGATTTATATAGGGAACCTTGCCCTGTCTTGAAATCTCTTCGTTTCTTCGTAACCGTCTCCCGTTCGGGCAACAAGTCCCTATACATTTCCATGGTTTCCGAGTCATCGCCACCTCCGGTCGTGATGTCAAGCTGCTGACGAGTCGGCTGTGATCTTATAGGCTGTTCTCTATTTTATCGTCATCTTTATATTCTATTCCTCCTTCGATTCCTTCCTTATATTCATCCCTATATCCATCCCCCCATCCATCCCCATCCATCCCTCTGTATATACCTGTATACCCTGTATACCTGCATTCTTTCTCCGAAAACATCGGCCGCTTTGGGAAATCTCCGGCTTATGCTTCCTGTTCCCGTCGAGTGGCCCTCGTTTCAGGTCCTTCCACTGAGCTTATAGATTGGGCAGCCTTCCCTCTATTCTGCTCTTCTCACCCACCTCTCTCCTCAAGTCTACCACCGCTGTAGACAAAATGCCGCCGCGAACATCCTGGTGGGAGAAAACAAAAGGAAACTCCAAAAAAGGCTTCGACAAAACATGGTCCGCCCTCGATAAACTCGGCGATCCCGTCAATCGCCTATCCTACCGTTTGGGCGCAGAAGCCTTCTGGCCCATGTCGCTCGACAAAGAGTGCGACAAGGCCGCTCGCATTCTACGTTCCTTCTGTAAAGATGGTTTCTACGCCGAAGATGAAACCCCCGATACGACTTTCGACGGCAAAATCGATAAGCCCAAGGGCAAGCAGCGTGTGATGCAGAAGATTCCGACCAAGGTTATTCAGCGTGCCCAGGGTCTGGTCATTTTTACGACCATGCGTTCTGGGCTTTGGATGAGTGGTTCCGGTGGCGCCGGTGTGCTTCTCGGCCGTATTCCCGAAACTGGTGAATGGAGCCCGCCGTCGGGTATCATGCTGCATACGGCTGGCGTTGGGTTTCTGGCTGGTGTCGACATTTACGATTGCGTTGTGGTTATCAATACCCCCGAAGCTCTTGAGGCTTTCAAGACCTTCCGGTGCACCCTGGGAGGCGAGATCAGTGCTTCCGCCGGCCCCGTTGGTGTGGGTGGTATCCTCGAGTCCGAGGTGCACAAACGACAGACACCCGTCTACAATTACATGAAGAGTCGGGGGTTCTATGCTGGCATACAAGTCGATGGGACAGTCATCATCGAGCGAACGGACGAAAACGAGCGCTTTTACGGCGAGCGTCTCTCTGTTACCGATATCCTTGCCGGGAAGGTCCGCCATCCGCCATGGGAAATCAATGGCCTCATAAAGACGATTCAGGCGGCGCAGGGCGATATAATCGATGAAAGCGTGTTGCCGGAAGGTGAGACACCAGGTGATGCGGTTCTACAGCCCGGCAGCGTGTTTGGCGTCCCTGCCGTCGACGACCCAGATCCCTTTGGTGTCAGAGCCTTGGAGGCAGAAGGCATGTTTATCCGCGAGGCCGGCACCAAGAGCCGACCTAGCCAAGAGGTCTTTGAGTTCAAGCCGAACCCGAACAGTCCGGCCTACGCGACCTTTGCTGCGGCGACCCGTGGCAGTCTAGAAAGTTCGCCCCGGAATAGCTGGCGTGCCAGTGTGCAGAGCCATGCTAGTGTCGACCGTGGTGTCCAGACTGATGATCTCCCAACTGCCCCGACATCCGTCAGTCGCGCTTCCTCGCGAAGTCGGTTTGCGTCGAGTGACAAGGATGCCATCATCCCCGAGAATCGACAGCTCACGATCTCGACAGACTACGAGAACGACCGCGCGTCTGTCATCGAGGACGATCTGGAGGTCCACGAAGTCAGCAGTGCTACCGTCTCCAAGCGAGGCAGCGCTATGGAAGACTACTTCAACCAACCACCATCTGCCTCCCCCACCGGATCCCGTCGTCATTCGCCTACCTTCACTCGTGCCCGTTTGGTCACTATTCCCAAGCGCATCCCTCCCCCTCTTCCTCCTCGTCATCCCCAGCGGTCCGCCTCTTCCTCCACCCCGGTGTCGCCGGTGTCGCCGGTGTCGCCAATTGCAGACGACAACCGGTCCGTGGCATCGGCCGGTCTCCTGAACGGGTTCTCTGAGCTTCCTCTCCACTACATGTCCAGCAACTCCTCGAGCATCTCCCAGACGCTCCAGGAGAAGGACGAATTCCACTCGATCTCCAGCGAGTCGTCGGATCGTGAGTCGGACAACCAGTCGCACGAGTCGAACACCACCAACGACTTCCATGAGGAGCCTCATGCTATTACCCACGACTCGAAAATTGAGATGTCGTCTTACAACAATGTTGTGCATGCGCAGACTGCGTAATATTCATCCCTCTCTCTTTCTCTCTCTCTCTCTCTCTCTCTCTCTCCCTCTCCCTCCCCTTAAGCTTTATGATTCCCTACCCGTACTCGTTTTCCTGTCTGTGTACATCTTTTCTTTGTCTTTCTCTTTCTGTTCAAAACTTGCATGAATGTCATATCGTGGTCAGTCTTTATATACTGTTTCTCGCTTTTTTATCTTGTTTTACTGGCAGCATGGCGCATTGGATGATGGCATGATTGGCGTCTTTCCTTCTTTTCTCGATTGTATGCTATATTCCCCTGATGTTTTGGATAGAAAGCCTTGAGCATAATTGACTTTTATTTTGATTCAAGTCTTTTCAAAATTCAACTTTATCCCAACATGTTAAAACTTACCTGAATCAGGCAGAAACGTATTTGGTGCCTGAATATCCAGGCGTGCAGACTCCTCTGTTTTTGTCTGCTTTCGTCCCATCTTCCATCCTTTCGTCGGACGTTTGTATCTGCGCAAAACTATTCTTTTTTATTGGTCAAACGGTATTTCAGCACCGGTATTGATCAGAAGCGTCATGGCGCCCAATAGCTTTGGCGACGCCGTTATTGCACTTAACTAACGTAATTCACAAGCGAGTGGGCCACACAAGCGAGTGGGCCACCCACCCCCCATATCTAGTATTTAAATGCATTTATTTCTACCAAAACGCCAATTAATTAACAAAACAAGCTATCTGGGTTTATCTGGACATGCATTTCTCTTATGTCCTTCATTTCCACAGGTACCGCACTTCGGTAAAGCCCTCGTACGCGGCTGTAAAGGTGGTGAAGGCCGTCTTGGCCGGGG